AGAAATTAACAGTTAAAACTCCACAAATATGGGCAAATTCAAACACTATTAATAGGAGAGATGGGATATAATTATCTGTCCAATGGTGACTAATAATAAGTAAACTTTATCTATCCCATCTTTTCTTATGTGGGCAGCAACGATTACTTTCACTTGTTCCAATCAGTCAGTTTATCTGAATATATGATAAAAAATAAGCTTGGTCAACAATAATACAAATATTTGTTTGTTTATTTTCTTTCACTGTATACATGCTGTGGCATGTTTGATTCACATCACCTAGCGAACCATCTATTTTCACCAAATTTCTAATCAGAGACAATATCTGGTCAGTGAATTTTTCTCACATTTGATTTATGTACACATACACACAACACAATTTTCTCCACTTTTTACACCAAATGTCACATACGCATTACAATAAATCTTATGTTCATTGTAAACATGAATGGACGATTTATTTAGTAAACAGTTAACGGAATACACCCATTAAGACATTAAATACGAAAGATTAGTTCAGTGAAGAGTTCTCGTTTCTGAGAATTCGTTTTCAAAGCTGTACAATCGCAAATATATATACTTATTTCACAGGATGATAATAATACTGATAATAAAATTTCTGTTAGATATGTCTTTGGAAATGAATTCACCGAATAGAGAATTCTTCGCTGAACTAATCTTTATTATTTAGTAAACAGTTAACCGAGCATTTATATTCGATATTTTGATGTTTGATTTTCTTTACTTAAAAATGCTTGGACCAGTGAAACATTGGATTTACTTAACATGGAATCACTGAGATTTGTATAAATATAATTTTCCTTCTTAATGTCTTACATAAAGTCAGGCCCCAACTAATGTGAAACTACTCGTTTAAACCTAGACGAAAGTATTTATATATTTTAACTTAAGTCTACCATTTTTATGTTGGAAGCTGCAGTGTAACCATTGACGCCAAAGTCCAATAATTGTAAAGAAAAGTTGGATAGAGGTTCTTTCTAACATTCTCTATGACTGTTTCTTTGTCACAGAATTATTCCCTAAGAATGATATATTATGATAAATAGAATAGACTAAACGTTTGCGTAAAGAATGAAATGATTTCAAATCTACTAAAATTCGGTTTATTTACATTATAAAATAAGAATGTAACATTTAATAATATAAAATTCCTTTAGCCTACAAACTAACAAAAAACATGATTATTGGAATTGATTTAAATGTCATGTTTTCTATACGTACACTTATTTAAAAATTTGTCTTAAAAAATAACTGTAAATAAAATAAATGTCACGTAACATTTCTATGGAAACTGTTTTTTTTTTAGTAAAAACTTCACTTCATTTTGAATTTATTGTTCAAATCACTAAACATTTAGTTCGTTATCGGAATCTTTTTCTAACTAGTGGATAATCTAAACTATAAAATCGTAAACTATATTAATATTCTAGTAAATATACAAAATGTTTTAGACTGGATAATTAAATTCTGGAAGACTAAAGCTTTAGATATATGACGTCGGTTTAATCTCAGTCCACTTATAAGGTTTGAAACGATCTTCCCTATAATACCAAATAACGAGTTGAATAAATAATATTTGAGATCTACTGCAGAACAAAACATATAATTGATCAATGTTGCCATTTCCATCCCCATAAAAAGTTAACTCTCTCGGATCAAATGAAATAAAGAATCAGAAAATGATCTAGGCATCTGGCATGATACGTATGTATTTCAGCCCCACCCCCCACTAGTGAGTTGACCAATCATATAGCGACAACACGTGCGTTGATGTCGTATATTTTACAAAAATTTGTAGCATAAAGTGTCATTTTAATTGATCTATTTATATAGATCCCAAGTGAGGACCGAGTTAGGGAGGGCTGTTTACTCTCTTCCTTTTATATTTCTTCTGGTGATTGATCGGGTTATGAAGACCTCTACATCTGACGGGAAGCACGGAACACAATGGATAGATTGTATGCAACTGGATGGTTTGGACTTCTCAGATAACCACATGTACTTCAATTGTAGGAATGCTGTTCTCGCTTTGCCTATCAGTGCATTCACATATACATCAGATCCTCATTGTTTATTGATGATGCAGCCCAAGTACGTAAAACTCTCCACACCTTCCAGAGCTTCTCCATCAAGTGTGATTGGGTTGGTGTTTTCTGTGTCGTATTTCATGATGTTGCCTTTTCCCTCGTGTATGTTGGAGCCTACTGATGCAGAGGCTGCTGCTACACTACTTGTCTTGACCTGCATTTTTTGTTGTGTATGGGATGGAAGAGATTGGTTATCTGAGAAGTCCAAACCATCCAGTTGCATACAATCTGTCCATTGTGTTCCGTGCTTCCCGTCAGATGTAGAGGTCTTCATAACCCGATCAATCACCAGAAGAAATATAAAAGGAAGAGAGTAAACAGCCCTCCCTGACTCGGTCTTCACTTGGAATGCATCTGTCGGCTGTCCTCACCTTGCAGTATAGTCCGTCGTATTATGTTGACGATCTTACAAAATGCACCACTGTGTCGAAGCAGGTTGCATAAGATTCTCCTATTCACGTTGTCAAATACTTACCCTTTATCATAGAAGTTAATGTATAGTGATGAGTTCCATTCAGTTGCTTGTATAACAATGATCTGTGTCTTAATAACTTGGTCGGTGCATTATCAATCCTTATAGAATCCAGCCTGCTGATCTCAATTTTACTGGATCTAACATCCTGTACAACAACACTCTGTTGAAAACTTTTCCTGGTACTGACAGTAGTATGATGTCTCTGTAGTTAGTTCTCACATTTTCTCAGAACTCCTTTCTTTAGTATCTTGATGAGACATCCTTCTTCCAATTCTTTCAGTATTTGTTCCTCCTTCAAAATCTTCTTGAATAAAATGTGAATTATCTTTGCAGTTACTTTTACATGTGACTTCAGTACTTCAGTTGGTATGCTTTCAAGTCCTGTTGCTTTCCCACTGTTGATTTGTTTGGTGGCTGTTATGATTTCTTCAATTGTTGGTGGAGTGACATCTATAGGAAGATCTGTAGGTGCTGCTTTGATATCTGGTGGATTCAATGGAGCTGATCTATTCAAGAATTTTTCAGTGTTCTGCCCACCTGCATCACTGTTCTTGAATCTCAGTGATTGGCTGGACATGTATAAATATATGTTCCAGCTTTAAAATGAATCTCTCTGGAACGACTACCTTCACAAAACTAGGTGGTAAAACTTATTCGCCAGTTAAATCAGCTAAACAAGTCCATTAAATAGAATAGTACCCGTTGTTAGGCCTGAAATTTCAGTTAGGCAACTGGTAGATATTAGCTAGCTATTTTGTAATGTTTATTGCTTCTCACCAATATGTATATAGTGCGTCTTTTTCTAAGTTAACGTCATCATCTTGATTTTTGGAATAAGACTTCCGTCAGTTCGTACTTTTAAGTTGCAATTTGAATCATCTTTAGTGACTAAAAGAAAATGTATTAAGGAAAGTTCCAGTGAGAGACCAATTGATCTTTAATCGAAGGAATAGTAAATCTATCAATAATACTTAATATATGTCACTACATATAAAAATATAACTGCGGTCAAAAAGAAACGATCATTTGCATTCAAATAAATTCAAGTTTTTCAGCACTCACTCCACAGTTGATTAAAAATACATACTACTATGAATTTGTTAACCTACATTAATAAAGCACCTATTTTCATTTCGTTTCCAACAGTTCTCTAAATAATATTGGAAGTACCTTTAAACATCGAGGTTATAATGACATAAACAGTTCCGGCAAGTAAGACCTAATGTTACATAATATTTGAGGAAGTAGTTATGTCGTTTATTCGCAAGTATACAAAACGAATTTACATAAGAATAAATATACGAACGTATCTTATTTTGTCTCAGACTGCATTCAAATATTTTTATTTATAGGTTGCGTTAAATGTACTCATTCGGTTCAATTACTCATTTGATTCCTATTGTTTATCTTATTATACTATGAAAGTTAACTTTTTACATTAGACCCAAGTGATCAGTTCTACACATTGTCCTTAATGATCTAGAAGCACTTATCTGCCATATACCTAACTTTAGAAGGTTGATTTTATCCCAGCACTTAAAATTTATTAAGTTTGTAGAAATTTAGCATAAATACTGAGCTTTATTATTTTATTTTGTAACTTTATAGTATAGTTCTATCACGGCTACTGAATAATAAGCTGAAGTAGCCATGAAACTCTGCCTATCTTTCACTAGTATTTGGTAGCACATAAACCCTTAAATCTCGGTTATTTTGACGTTTTCCAAAAATACCTCAGTCATTACACTTCTCTAATTTGTGTGGTCCAAGTTCAAAGTTAGCTCCCACCGCTGACTGCTATCAGCCTGAGGACCACTATAAAAAAGAAATCAGTGACCATCTGTTCAATCCTAATTTAGGAACTCTCAGGGCTAGGTATTTACGGCTTCACAGGGAATCGATTTACTAAACATTCTTGTAACGACCCTAATACCTTAATACCAATAAATTGTAATCTAATGATCAAAATTCTCAATTACATTCAATTTAGAATGTAGAATAACGGTCATTTGTTTTGCCAGGGTTCTGTTTATAATACAATGATAAGACAAATTTTATTTGACACCTAGTGTTACCTATGATTTTATAGTGAAATATCGGTGAATTGAGTAACTGTCTATGGTTTCAACGGTCATTACCAAATTTGTATGTTAGCTAGCGTTTCTGTGATGGCTGTATGGATAATCGAATGGTGTTACTTCTTTAAGAATAAATAGATCGATCAATCAAATAATCTTACATCGGATTCTTTAATATTTCATTTTTGCATAGGTTACACTATTTTAACAAACAAAATTGCAGAATTATCATTTTCAAGTTTCTGATATTTTCATTACCAATATTAGGAAAATCAAACTAAAATGTACGAGAATTTTTCTCAAACATTATATCAGTTTTCTACGTGTATTTTTTTAAAGGTACATTAGACGTATTAACTGCAGTAAGAATCAGTGAACAAGCATATGTACAAACTTCACCTGGTCGATGTCGTCAAGATTCGAATGATTTGGCAACATCATCGAATGTTGCAGAAAGAAATGTAGCTTATTCTGTTCCTCGTGGATTAAGTCTTTACATAGAAGGTCGATCTTTAATCCCTGGTAAGTTTAGTAATTTCATTTGTTTATTGATTACTAAAAAGTATCCCTTTCTGAAACTGAAGACGTTGATTTTTTTCACTCTTGTAAAAGAAATTGAAGTGTTGTAAAGTTTGTTAATACACTTCGTTATCCATTGTCAACTATCAACAGGAAAATTTATAAAGATTCCTATCGTTTTGTTTGAAAAGTGGTAGAATAACATAAAAATCATCAGTTTCTCGTTTTTGTTTTTGTAAGATATGCAATCTTAATAGAATCTTTTATTCAGTAGCCACCATTATCTTTAATACTTCTATAAAGGGTTTTAAAAATATTTTATTGAACTTATACAGTGAAACTATAATTTATGGATGACCTTTGAGCGACGCCAGACTGACCTTGAGGGTGTCCACCTAATAACTAGGACCAAATGAGTGTTATAAACCAGTGTGAGAAATTAAAATTACGATTTACAGTTGATAATTAACTTTATAAATTAGATTTAGGGTTTTCATCACGAACTGACATCAGCTATCATTCCAAAACTTTAGTTATCCGAATGAATGAGTGAATTTCGTGCGAAGATCCAAGACCTGTTATCTTATACGTGATGGGTTTGTCCATAAATTATAGTCTCGCCACAATTTATTATTCAACTAGGAATTAATTTATCTGAACTTATTGTTTTACCGAATTCCTCGTATTATTTATATTATGAATGTAGTTAAAGTGTTTTATGATCTTTTTTTGATTTATTGTATTCCGACAAATTCACGCAGAAAACATTTGTATTTCAATATTTAATTAATGCATAACATAGAAAATAATGTTTAGCTGTTCGTGTTCAGTAATAACTATAGTCCACAAATTAGTTTTTGGCAATTTTTTAAGTTCACATGTATTACCTTCTAAGGTGAACGTATTTTAATTTATGTGGGACTTTCAGGTAATTTAGTCATTTAATTACACGCCTGCCTTATTAAAGTTAGCTTGCTTGATAACCTCATAGTCAAGTGACCAGAATCACTGTTTACTTATGTCTTTTGTGTAGTAGTTGTACTAACAAGATATCCTTTTTATGTACAGATCCATTTCCTCCAGATCTGTCTATTTTATTTACTATTCGATTGGAATCCAATTTGGAAAAAGAGTTTTTCACTCTTTATGATCGACATGGACAAATGATTTTACGCATAATAATTGGCTCACATTTGCAATTAGAATATTTATCAAAAGAATCACAGTCTAGTCAGCTTTCTGATGTGCATCCACGAGATTTAAAAGCACATTCAGGAAAAACATTAGAGAAAGCTATTTTTAAAACTCGTCTAAATGATGGCCTGTAAGTTAATGATTTTTACTTTAGTAATCTTTCACTTAGAACTAGTGATTTCATTCCATTTCTGTTTTAATGAGTTCTCTGTTATTTGTTTCTTTTTATTGGGTTGTTTTTTTATAATATCTATCAATGAAGGCAGACGTTTTCATCCCTAGAATATGTGAAATATGATTAACAGAGGAAACTAAGATGCGTGTTTCTCCCTATTTGAAATTAGTTAGTTAGACTGTACAAACTCTTTCGAATAATTTACGTCACTAGTTAAAAACCGAAATAAAACCTGTTGATTTCTGGTTGTACGGACCTAGACTGTACGCTTCTGTAGTGTAGTGAGGGAGCTTTGAATATCATAAAACATGAATCGCTTTATTCATATCTATGCTAAGTATTCTTTCCAGTTTTGTTTTGAGAAGTATCTCGTATGAATATACACTATAACATTAAAGTTCGAAACACTCATCAGGTGCAGAATATTAATTACTCATAATTCAGAAGACTGCCATCCTTACAATTTTGCTATGGAGCAAGCATTTTAAAACCGTCACCAAATTACATCTCCCTATATGATTGTAATTCAAGAACATGTGTATGTTCTATCGAAATAAACATAAATATTTGTTAACACCCTATAACTCAAGAGATATATAACTTCCGATTCATGGAAAGCCGAAAAGCAATTTATTAACGTATTATCAATAGTGGTTATCAGTCAAAACTCTTCATGCTTGAAGCATTTGAGAATCCTGGTTCAAATCCAGTAACCTTTAATAGTGCTTTGTCTCAAAATAAAGTTATCATATCATAATACATTTTAACAAGTTTTCTCAAAATAAACTAAATGACGTGTTCAAGAGTATATACTACAAATAATTCCCAATATATATTTACTAGGCTTTCATTTTCTGTGTATCCTGTTCAATACATTATATTTTCGTGAACTTTTTAGATGGCATCGTGTAGCCGTCAGTATTGGTACTACTACCGTAAGATTACTAGTTGATTGTAAACAAAGGGAGTCCATAAATTATAATCGTTCATCAACAAGCATTGATAACAGAGGTCGAATACAAGTATTGAAAGACGGCATTCATGTGAGTTTTCATCATATATTTGATCTGTTTAATACTTTGTTGATCACATTCCAAAAGAACTAGTGACTTTTCCACAAGACAATTTGAGTGAAAATCCAATTTAAGCACTAATTAACTTTATTCATAAAGTTAGAAATATTGATAACTCGTAGATAATTATGAAGCAGTATTCATATTTCAAATAAAACGAGTAGGGTTATATTTACGGCCGATTTGATAAGTTAACTGAAGAGATTAATCTGGTACGTAGAGTACAACTTAAAATATTTCTTCAGGAAGGCAAACATGGTCAGCCTTATTGGAAACTGATAGAAATTCCAACACTTCACAAAGCGTTTGGTACAAAATTAAAGTTCTAACAGTGTACTAATAAACAAAAATGGTTACAAACAGATTTTCTGAATAAAACATTAAGTAATTTGTCAATCTACAGAGCTCTTAGAAACAAAGTTGTTGACAGAATTACACATTGAGAATACAAACTGCAAGGCCTGAGTCTCACTTTCTTCAAAAACGTGATCTACTGAGGTTAATAATCTCTATTATTAACTCTTGTGCCTATAAACTAACCTACTTATTACCGCAAAAATTTTTATTTTTGCTTCGCTCAAATTTATGCACTATAACGACCACACAAAATTTCTCTTCAGACTAAGAACTGTAAAAATACAAAGCAGGTTAAATAGATCACTAAAGAAGGAGCCATTCATTGTAATTACTTAAATATAGTTGAATTTTTCATCTTTTGATGGTCGAATGAATCATACAACTACGGAATATTTACTTTCATAACAACAAGTGATCTTTAATTTTAGAAAAGGTCAGATACTTGCTATTGTTAAGTTTGCAATAAGTTTACTATCAGAAAAATACTTTGATTAAACCTAATTATGAAGACTATTTTTAGATGGAATCGAATGAATTTCATATTATTGAATTACGAATTTTTAGTACATTCGAAAGTAATAAACATTAGTACCAAGATGACTTTCCCATATAACCATTTACAAACTACAGAGGCTAAATGAGTTCAATTTCATATGGCAAATAGTTAAAGATTCTTCAAGTTAATATACCTTAAGATAATAAAATATACTTTAAATATAATTCCAGAATAATCTTATAGAGAATTTCGATAATGCAGTGAGAAGACGAAGTTTATCAGAATTATGGATATTGAAACCCCCTTTATGTGTTCAAAAACAATTTGTCCTTAAACTTAGCCTGCCCTGGTAGTACTGATTTATTATCCTGTTGGGGACGTTAGATTCCCAGAACTCACTTGGAAAAGGACCTAATTTTGCAATTTTATTTAGAAAATTTGAATTTCTTTGTTTTCACGGCAAAGGCGCTCTTTTCACCTGCATGTCGTATTTTCCACTTGGAAAATATCTTAAATTCTATTGGTCCGTTGTGTCTTTTAGTATGCTATTTTATAACTCTCCCCAAGAATGGTTTTGCGCTGTATATATACGTTTTGATTTGTGTTTGTTGTTATCGCTCATTCCTGGCAGTTTGCAGAATATACTTCCCTATTCCAAGCTTGGACTTCTTACTCTAGTTAGCGGGGCTGGGACGCATCAAATAGCTAGCTTATTGGTTTTGGTCACTGAGTCTTTGTTACGTTCGCAGTCTAAATGAACTCGTAACCGCTTCAAACCTAGTTTGTCCTGAGCGGTAATCACATTTGTTTTTGTGTACTTTAATGTTTTTCTTCCTTTGGTATGACTTACCCTTAACCTGTATAGTTAAAATTTTAATTTTCATATATAAATATTCTTAACAAGTATATGTGTGACCAGACTGTTCGGAATGTATTGTACAAATATATCACATAATTCTGATAAACTTCGTCTTCTCATCGTATTATCGAAATTTATCAAAGGGACTAACTGTTTTAAATTTCTCATAGAGAATATTTAATTAAAGCTTATCGATTTACAAACTATATATTATAATTATACTAATATAATTATTTCAAATGTATTACTTATAGGGTTTTATTGAAGATTTTTATCTTCTACCTGGTGAAGAAGGTGCTGTTAAACAATGTGATGTTTATTCACCTAATTGTTTTGATGATCAAATGATGGGGGATGAAGTAAATTGTTTGTTTTGTTCTGTTTTTTGCGACATGTTCCTTCCATGTTTATTTTTTATATTTATTTATAATAAACTTGTTATCAGAAGGGGTTTGTGGAGATTTTAAAAATTTTCACAGATTGAAATCATGAGTCAGTTGAAGCTAGACATTAATACCGTTGGGTGCCGGCTCAGTGGTCTAATGGTTAAGAGCTCGCGCGCGAAGCCAGTAGGTCCTGGGTTCGAATCCCGTGGGGTGCGGGATCGTGGATGCGCACTGCTGAGGAGTCCCATACTGGGACGAAACGGCCGTCCAGTGCTTTCAGGTTTTCCATGGTGGTCTAGCTTCAACTGACTCATGATTTCAATCTGTGAAAATAAACTTGTTGTCTTAATAGTCTAAGAAAAAGGTAACATGTGTTTGTTTCCTTTTCGATTTTATGTTTATTATCAATATATAATTTAATTATAAATATTAATCTATCAATGTACACTTCAGTATTGTAAATTTATATCATCATGTGTGTATAACATATAAGTATGGATGCTTCATAGGATTATAGATAAGAAGAAAGTAAAAAAATAACAGAAGAATAGTATGGTATTCCTAAATCTGGGAATTATTCACCATTTGCCATAAATCAGTACATAGTCTAAATATATAATTGAATATGAATTATTTAAGATAGTGTATGTTGTTTCTTTTGCATTTGTTTTACTGACTAAATAATATTTGAAACAACATATAAATATGTTCATAATAAATTCAATATTACAGCTTGAATTTATTCATTCAAATGGTAAATAAATAGGTTGAACAATATTTTATAGTCCATTAATTCGTTTATTAAAGTATTTAATCAAACAAGTAAAAGAACAAGTGAATTTAATCAGAATGAACTTATTTATATAAATCTCCAAGTAAACTCAATTACTGTATAAAGAATTCAGTAAATCTAGACAAGTTTTAAATTGAGAAATCATATTTCCAGATTTTTTAAAAAGTTACTAACTTTTAAGAAATTAGTACATATATTAAAGTTTTATGACAGTTTTATACTTTATTCTTACAGGGTAATTGAACTTTGTTGATCTATAAAAATTGTTTAGAAACATTATGTGTAGGATGTAGGAATATTTCAGTTCGTCAGTTAACCGCATAGCACAATAATATGTTTAGGGTAAAATCGAATTGTTCAGATTGAGCAATAAATCCTAATGGTATTATTTCTTGAATGTAGTTCGTACTGTTTTTATTTGTCAATAAAAATACATGTAATAGTCAAAACAATTACTTTTAGGCACTTCAAAATGAATTAATGATAAGTAAGTGACGGAAAACCCTGGTTAATTTAGATTTCAGGCCTTTTGACATTGATTTGTAAACTTAAGAAAAGAATGAATCATAGATATTTACTGAGAGCTACCTGTTCTCTAGCATCATGCTATTTAAGATCAACGTTGGAACTCTAAATTGTTAGATAAAATCAATTTTAAAAAGTTAGTTTTGACCATTGTAAACTAATTACTTACATCAAATTTTTTCCATCCTACTTAGGTAATTTTGACCAAGATCAAGTTTGTACAAGACAAATATGACTATGTTTGTATTAATATTATAGTCAAATATTTTGTTTTAATTTATAACTAAATATAATGAACAAGAATAATTGTATCTAATTTTTGATTGGTTAACTCATGGGAGTTTGTTTTACTCATTTTTTTGATAAGGAAAATAGTTGAAAACTTTCTTGACATTACTCATTCACATAATCGACAATTACATTAAACTACCTTATAGTAGTTAAACTTATACACTTTTAGATATCTTTAGGAATTTAGATTTATGGTATTACAATTTGCCACTATTTATTTATTAATTAATTGGAATTTAACAACTAGTCTAGTTTGTGACAAACCAAAAATATTTTGAACAGAACCAAAACAAACACTAATGAAGTATAATATAAATTCATTATCGTTCGTAATGATTCACCTTGATATTTAACGTTTCTGATTGAAATAAAAAATTGGGTTTATTAAGTCTACCTAGTTACTGAAATACTTTAATGAATTATTTTTAGTAATAACATTGTTAGATGTATTTGATTTGGTGTAAATAGTCTTAACTTTAAAGAAATAATTATTCTACATGCTTAATCATAGTGTTACTTCTGCAACTGTTCACGTTAAACAAATGAGAGAGAAAATCTGTAAATCAGTAACGAAACGAAATGTATGATTTATTATATCAAATCATTTCATCTGTCTACTCATAGTTAAAGTTACGGTTTGAATAATTGAACAAGATTAAGTCGTCATGTTACCTTGCTATCTAGTTTATAACTCAAATGTTTAGATGTCGAAAAATTATTCACTTCATATAGCTGATTAGACTATCAATGGTAACCTCTTTAAACAATTACAATAATTACAGAAAACCATTTTTGTATTTATTTAGTCTTTCATTTGACAGAATTCTGATAAACAAAGAAATTTTGCTTATTTCAATATAACCAATTTTCATTTGATGTCTAAAATCATTCGAATTCAACTTTGACTAAAAGATTCGTTGATATGAGATGGAGAGAGAGAAAGGGAAAAGAGCGGTGATTGCCTAATGTTTTTTTAAGTTTATCAAAAACATAATTCAATTCAGTAATGTGCATTGAATAGCATTACATGAATAAAAACATATGTTTAAATGTCAAATCTAATCAATATCTAAGGGGACTAATTGTATGAGTGTATAATATAGTTTTTTTTTCGTTTTGCTTTTTTAGACCATGACAGTTTGTCCAAAATCTCGAACAAACTTATCATTTCCTAATTGTCCAATAGTTAGATTATAGACCTACTTTAATCAATTATAAATAATTTAATCTAAAATATCAAAAAAAAGGTTTAAAATATTTTATTAACTAAAAGCTAAAATTGTCATTAATTACCTTGGCAATAATTTCCTTTATCAATACAACTTCCTTCCATATATATATATATAGATCAAATTAATAATACTTTCTATAGAACGTAATTTTTAATAGAAAGAAAAATTCAAAGCATATGTTACCTACTACTTTAATCTTATTACGTAAATTTACTCGTAGTTTCATAATCATTTATGCTTAACTGATGATGATATTAAATATGTAACATACATATGAATTAAGATATCGAATGTGTTTTTCCTCTCATATTCTTCTCTTTGATTGGGAACAATTATAAAATGAAATTGTTGATCTTGTTTTCATCGATAAAAAATAACATGAAAAATCAATTATTTAATTAAGATGTTTTCTTCCAACAGTTGAGATCATGAGTCAATTGTAGCTAGACCACCATGGAAAACCTGGAAGCACTGGACGGCCGTTTCGTCCTGTTGTGGGACTCTTCAGCAATGCGCATCCACGAGACTGATAGATCCTGGGTTCGAACCCGGTGAGGCGGGGTCGTCGATGCGCACTGCTGAGGAGTCCCACAATAGAACGAAACGGCCTTCCAGTGCTTCCAGGTTTTCCATGGTGGTCTGGCTACAATTGACTCATGATCTCAACTGTTGAAATAACTACAATCTCCACAAAACCCCTTCTGATACTAAGATGTTTTCTTTTTAAAAAACGAAAAACAAAAGTAAACAGCCTAGATCTTGGATTACTATAATAACTTTTGAACAAAATTTAATCATTACAAGTAGTTTATTTAAATGAATAAATCTTTTATTTATTACAGCAAGTACTTGATTTGAATTTGATTGAGAATATAATCACAAAGATGTAGGTAAATTTGTACTATGCAGTTTTTAAAAGGAATAAAATATGAATCTCAAATTCTAATTTCAACAAAACAAATTTTATCTGGGGAATGAAACTCATTAATCTATTGATTCATTGTACTATTTGTTAAAAATAGTTTTTAGATTATTTGTTTCTCCATTTTAAAAAAAGACCCAGAATGAATATCCAGCTTTAACGAAGAAAAAGAAACAATTCAGAAGTGATACAACGGGTTCATTTCAGTATTTTTTATTTTAATAAAAATGATATTAGACATTAGCTGAACAGTTAATTGTGTTTGCTTTAGTCAACCAATATCTTAGTGGTTAGATATTAGTTAGTTTAGTAAACATTTTGTATTGATAAATATGCATTTACTAATGATCATTTTATCAACTGTGAATTTTTGTTTTGTATATTTTTTTTGTTCAAAATTTCTAGGGAGATAAAGATACTGATCCAATGCAGGTAAGTTTATTTATTTTTATTTAAAATTGATTTGTCATAGTAATTAATAAGGAAAGAACCTCACTTATTTCGGAAATTATTTGATCCAAGAATATACAGAGTTTAAAAAACTAAAAAAAAAATTGGTTTCAATTGAAGATAGATATTTACTTAATTAGTTTAAGAAATGTGTATTTACTTGATATTTACAAAACAATGAGAAGAACCGATACATATCAAGTTTAGTGTATATTAGCTACTATTACTTGGTGTTACGTTCTACATTTACTAGTGTAAGCAGTAAACTGTTCTGTTGTTTATTTGTTAATAGCTTCTAAGGTAATTTATACATCGGCTTACTTAGTTGATCCCGTCTCCAGTTCTACATACCATAATAAATATAACAACCAAGAGTTATATTAGTTACAGTAACTAAAACGTCCACTTATTTTCTTTAAGTAAATCTAACTAACTACTGATTGTTCGAGGCTAAAGTACTCGACAAGTTCCATAAATCTTGAAACTGTTAATAACTGTTAGTTCTATAAAACTAAGTGTGAAAATGAATTCTTACTCCAAACTTAAACTAGTATTATGCTGATGAGAAGTATCACTGAATTAAAATAAGGAGAATTCAGCTGTACATTAGTATTTAAGGTTGCTTGATAAATGTATGTCTTTAACAAGATAAAAAAGATTACATCATAAAGTGATCTGAGATGCTTATTTGTTCACTATCATTCAGTGTTCATATGGTGAATATATTTGTTTGTCCTGATGACCCCTGATATACCGACCACCATTTATATATTTATCAAACAACTATAATTACAAATGCCACAGCTTAAGTAAACGATTTCATTGAAAAGAAAATTCTTTGTTGAATTTTCTTTAGTTTTATTCCATAACTCAATGGGTTACTTTAATTATCAAAGTACCACATATTCTCAGTGAAAATAGTGAACTTGTTAAGGACTTCTAACTCTATTAATACCATTGGTTTTATTTTTTTCCTTTTCAGATTTATTGATATTTTATTTTGTTTGCACACTTTAGGGTCCAACAGGTTCTATGGGAGATAGTGGTCCACCAGGTGACAAAGGTGAACCAGTAAGTAGTGAATGATAATAATTTTAATGAAATAAATGATCTACCAAATGACCACTTAATTGAAGTGAAACAATGATATTTCACTCACGGAACTCAGACAATAAATCCTAAATTAATATATATTTTTTCGAAATGTTCAAAGACTGACGAAATGACTGAATATATCTTGAAAAAACAAAACATTTATCTATAAAATATTTAACCTAAATATTGTGATTTCAAGTTCTTTACAACATAAAGAATAAATCATCAGTGCTAAAATGAAATTCACAAAGCAACTATTTAAATGACCGTTCTCCTTGTTACATTAACATATACTTAGCGGATTTTTCTTCGTACATAATTAAAAGAAAAATGTATACATTTCATTAGTTAACCAAATTGAATTAATCTCAAGATTTTACCACATTTTAAACGAATTCAAAAACTACTTGACCATTTAGCATAGACTAGTTCTATTTAAAATATATTTGATGTTAAATAATTGTGTTATACAAAAATACCACTAAAATATAGTTGTATTACTACTGCTTAGAAAATCAGATAATTATACTTTATAATAAATTAGGGAGAAAGCTTAATACATAGGAGATTTTGAACAGTAATACTGAGAATAAATATATGGTGTTTTGTGGACATAATCGAAAAAATAGTTTTAAAATGAACTGTCATACTCACTATGATCAAGTTTTATTTAGTTTTTTATCTCTCATCCTCCTGTAGTGGGACTTCTTGGTTATTCATGGCTTCTGTTCCAAGTTAGCTTCGATCACAGTCTGATAGCTGAAAATTCATTGAAAATCAAAGAGTGGTTAACGGTTCTTTAGTTTCAATTTCGGGGTAGGCAGTAATGAGTATCAACGACGCTCCGCGGCATCCTAATCAAAATCTTTAACTGTTGCGGTATACATGATACGTTTACAGCTCAGAAAGGGAATCTAATACTTCATAATTCCAAGTTCATTCCATTCTTCATACAATATGATAATCATTAATTCCCATTTGTTATTGCCGTTTACACCTGAAATGATTGACTTTCATCTGTGTATGTTAACCAAGACCGAACAGTACAAGTAGAAGACTGAAAACTTATTAGTAAGATTAGTAAAAAGAGTTGTTTTTGTATGAAAAGTGAAACTCTATTTCAAGAGCTGCAGATATTAATTTAATAGCGTCCATCGGTTACGGGTACTTTTATCTACATAAAGGAGATGTGGAGAACATAAATCATAATGAATAATACAAAGTGGGATGCTTCTCAAATGTATAAATAACACAAACGAACAAACTCTAATGTTTCACTGTTTCAAAAACATGATTGAAAAAATTTGGATACAAGACGTTAGAAAACTCCTGACTTTTTCATATATGTATTTATATATCACAATATTGCAGTTTTAAGGCCTAAACTACCAGTAATAAGTTTTTACTTTCATATTTTTTTCCGAAAGGGTTTGAATGGGTCATCCGTACCTGCTGGTGAACCCGGTCCACCTGGTCCCATGGGTTCCCTATTCATCATTCCTCTCAATTTAGGCGTCGGTAGTAGTAGTTTTGCACGGGCAGCTACATTTCGAGACCTGCTTCAAAAACATCTGGTAAGTTTTTTTGACAAGGTTATTTCAACAAATAAATATATCACAGTTGTCAATATCCTAATTTGTTTTTCTTTCATTTTCTTGCAGCTCTCCTTAAAAGGTGTACGTGGAGCTAGAGGAATGACTGGTGTGACTGGTCCAGAAGGAGGTCCCGGTGAACCCGGTGTTAAAGGAGAAGTTGGGCACCCAGGTGATACGGGATACCAAGGGCCTCGCGGGCCAATGGGCCCACCTGGACGTCAAGGTTCAAGTGTAAGTTATTTTATAGACACTGTTATATAGGCGCCATGGATTAACAAGTGTAGTTTAAATGAATAAACGTTTAGAACAATGGTTTTGTGAACCTTACGTGTTCATCTAAACAGTAACAGATATCTATTATAAACATCTAGAAGATGGAAAATATGTTTTTTCATCCTTCAGTCTAACTTATTTGTACAACAGTTTCACACTGAAAAAATTGAACACTAAGAAACATGATTTGAAGTTTAGGCAACTAACTATACTGTCTTCAGAATTCTTTTAATAACAAACAAAAAAAGATATTCGCAAAAAAATTAGATATATGGGGTAGATAAACATTAGACTATGAATCAGTATTTGGTGTTCTTGATGAATTTATCAGCAAATTCTAAGCTATAAACGGATATATTTCGTAGGAGCATTTATAAACACCACACTTTCCCTATTTGTTTTATTTGATTGAACATCTTCACTAACAAGCAGAAACCATAACGGTGTTATGTTACATATATTAAAAACCCAGTGGGATTCTACAATTGATAAATTTCTGTCAGAAGCAATTACTTAAACAAGATATTATATACTACCATGTGGCTAGTTGATAAACATTTGGTGATGATTTTCATAACATCAGTTCTACAGGAACTAAGCTTTTAAAAAAGAACACCGATAAAATAGGTTAAGTTTTGATTATTTATTATAATCAACTGGTAAACCTATTTATATTTACAGGTATGCTCACAAACTGATTACCTAATATAAAGACCATATTTGAAACTGACAAGACCTAATATGCCCAGTTAACGCAGTGGGTAATAACAAGGTCAATTCAGAAATAAATTAACCTACATAAGTATACTCTATTCAGGTTACCTATGCAATTAAATAAGATATTAGCATCAAATAGTAGTAGGTGGAGGAAAAACTAAGTGAAACACTACTTACTTCTGATGAAACATATAGGTTCGACCAATAATCGAATCCAAGGTTAGTAAGACGATGATAAGTCCATAAGAAAATATGACAACCCTCCAACCAGTTACAGAGGTATTTGCTGATTCAACTTTCCTCTTCGTTTTGTTAGTTTTTTCTTTGTCCTAACGTAAAATCTGACAACTTTAACTGAAGTATGTCTGTTTCAAGTCCTGTGATTTCGAGAGACTGATTCAGTTAAAAATCCTTATTCTTATGAAAACAGATTTTTCTTAAAACATCTCAAACTGTTAAAATCATCAGTAAATTCAAATCACTAAAAATGAGATAATGGGAATACCTTAATTGTTATATTTTAAACAACTATCATTATATTGAAGATTGTCATTATGAAAATTAGAACAACACATATATACGAACAATACTGTTCTCAATTAGATTGTAATCAGGCTTTGCTCTAATATACCTGAATACTTATATGAAAATTTTTCAAACTAATCAAAGCAATTGATGGGCCAATGATCACAATGAAATAAATTGTATTATTAAATACAGTAGGTAAAAAGTACAAACTTATAATAAGACAGATGTATTAGTGGTAGGAACAGCCAAATAACAAAAGTTCTAGTCAATAGTTCAACAAAAGAAGTAGGTCAAACTGGATAAATAGACTTTAAAATGATAATCACTATACATTATTAAAATTATGCAATAAGAAGTGCATAAATAATTAGATATTGACGAATATAAACAGAGAGATGACAAACAAAGACGGCATTCACTCACTCACTGGTTAATTTGCCTGTTATTACACCCAATATAGCTATCTCCAGAGGAGCAGCTAGATTTGTAGATGGACACTGTGCAGGCCAACTCAGGTAATTTATCCTTTTCCTACTAAAACATGCCAACGAAGGGTTGGTTGTTTAAAATGTGCTATCATCTCCTCATACTTATCTACCATTCAGGACATCGCTAAACACACTGTTATTGCATTTCAGTTTTAAAAATATGGGTTTTCTTATGTATAGTGAATATATCCAGTTAATATTTACCCGCAAACGTGTACTTTTTAAAAACTCAGATAGCTGATCGCTGTCAGAGTGTTATTGATAGACTTCAACTCTTTCTTAATATCATCTAGGGAGACCATTTTTGCTCTGCATGTGAGAAATCCAACAAGATTTATTTTGTAGTGGATGGGTGTAATACTATACGCGTTTCTACATAACAAGCCACCGCGCTGTTTATGTTGTGTGATGTTGATTTGTACTTTTTACCTATTATATCTAGTTATGCAATTTATTTCATTGTGATCATATTGAACTACAATATAAAATGACGTATTCTGTTCACTTCAAATGTTTAAGACATATTACCTCCTTAGTAAATGAAGGCAGGACTTAAATAAATAACGTTTTTTTCCACCCAAAACTCACTTATATGGTGAAAAAAATAATTAGCTTAAGGATATTTCATCCAAAGGCTGGTTTAAAACGATTCTATACAAACACAACCAAATTGTGTAATGATGAAAAAGATTTTCAGTCCATGTGGACTCTTAAACTGGTGCTATGTTCTCTGAATTAAACAATTTAGTAGATACAGATTATGTTGACCAGAAGAACAATGAAAGCTCCACAGAATACAACACAAAGACATAAGCTAAAATTGATTATTAAAAAATACTAGAAACGTGAAGAAATTATTGATTTGTAGTTAGTACACAAATAAAGTTATGAAAGATAACCCTACACGAATAGGATTTATTTCACAACGTTTTCTAAGTATCCTTGTACCAGATAACTTCTAATACTTATTTATTTGAAATACATAATCTTAGTACGTATGATATCTAGGCATATAACCAACTTAATTTCTCTTCTATTTTGGAGGTTACGAACTTTATTGTTCCTCCACTTGAGTGCATATATTTACAGCTCCGCATCCAAATGTGAACTGTTTCGGCATGCAGGGGTGCTTATTGTCAATAAGTAAAAATTTCAAGGACGGCACTATAAGTCACATAAATTATGTCTCATAATGCCGACTTATGAAAGTTATCACATTCATTAGTTAATCAATAAAAACCAATCTACACTATAACTACTCATTTGTGGATTTATTTACATAATTACGAGGAAATGATTCCATGTTTTACTTACAACATATTATAACATTATGTTTGATTTTGGAAGCCCAAAATGTTTTTTATATGTTTGGAAACTCCTTTTCTAATGCTACCACAATATATGATTGGTATCATGATTTCAATTACAGGGACCACCGGGATTAGATGGTAGTCGTGGAGAACCTGGTCCATCAGGAATGAAAGTGAGTTATTCACCCGAATTGCTTCACTAGCACTTTTATTCTGTTTTATCGTTTTCTAGTCAGTGAAATGTTTTATTAAAAAAAAATGCTTTGGTTATGACGACAGTTTTGTGTGTGTTATGTACGTATTTAACTTGAATGGACTAATAAAAACATAACTAGCTCCAGTAATTATTAACACAATCATGATAAATAGATAACCTTATTTATTGTGAATCAAATAACGAGTGTTGCTCAATATAACGGAAGTCAATAAAAACTTTAGTTCAAGGTACTAACAATTAAATTACGCTTTGTGTTCCACGAAATTATACTTTAAAAACATTATTCGTCACTAGCTAAAGTCATGTCGGGATGAATTCAAAATTATCCCACTGACTCAACTACATTCTTCCTCATATTCATTGGAACTGACCGCAGGTCTGTTACACTGACTATGCAGCCTACTTTGATTTAGAGGAAAGGCCTGTACGATAAAATCTGACACTTTCCTCATGGTCGAGTAGCTTTATCCATAGTATTCATGTCAACAACTCACGTATTCACTTACAAAGAAATAATTTCTGGAAGCTACATGGTTATTCTTAGTGTCAGGATATAAGTTATCCTGATCAAAATTTTTATATATTTTAAAGATAAATAAATGTGGAAACTATCAACATTGAAATCCCTTTCGACGTAGCACTGGCCATTTTGTCGCATGAAACTAAGCAAAACAAAGTTTTGGTATTTTCACTGAGACAATCTCTACTCTTCTATTATGACTTGTCAGAATTGTAAATAAATATTTTGGAAAACGGAATGAAATGGATCGATGTCGACTCAGCGGTCTACAAGTTAAGCGTTCACGTGCGAGCCCAAAGGTCCTGAGTATGAATACTTTGTTTGGGACCGTGGATGCAAACTGCTGAGAATTCCCATACTAGGATGAGGCACCTATCCAGTGCTTTCCGGTTTGCAATGATGGTCTAACATTTATTAGTTCATCATCTCAGTTAGGAACTAACAATCTCCACAACCCTTTACTGAAAATGGATATTAGGTGACAAGAACCAACTATTATGAATTTTCATGCTTGAGGTGGAATAAGAAACATTGAACTTCTGATCAGGTGGTCTCAAGGATTAATGCGGTTTCCTTTCAAAATTTATAGGAGATTAAGTATCTATTAATGAAATATGAAAAGAAATATCTTTTTATACAACATTTTAGTTAGCTGTGTTAAATGTTGGTGAGAATTATGCAGTTTTATGTATGGTTTTGAAACTAATGATAACGAAATTTTTTATGTAAGAATACAATAAAAAATCTTCCAATTATAAAGGATAACGACGTATTCACGTAGAATAGTACTGATAATTTTCAACAGGAATCGTAATAAGCCAACACTAGCTTGGATCAAATGCAGCGCAATAGAGTCGTTTTGTTTAATCATACAAACCGGCTTCCAATGTAACTAGCTATATTGAGACTCCAATCAATAGAGCACTCAGGGTTAATATAGTACTTAGGTAGTTGACTGTAAACCTTGATTACAACAGTACTACTCGATAGTAAAAGATTATTAGTAGTTATTTTTTGTCTTTGTGTGTTTAATCACATAATTTTTCACAAAACGTGGTGAGTAGTGACCCATCAAGAGCTATGACGAACGTGCTAAAGTGATTATACTCATTCATTAGGCCCATCAAACGTGTATATTTTTTTTTATTTTTCAGGGAGAAGATGGACGCCCTGGTGATTCCGGACTTATAGGCCTTAAAGGAGATAAAGGTGAATTAGGGCCTCCTGGTCCCAAAGGTGATCAAGGTCTCCCGGGTGAAGAGGGACCACGTGGACCTCACGGAGATATCGGGGATCAAGGAGATCCAGGTCTGCCTGGAGTACGTGGTCCTGTGGGTCAGCCGGGTCCGCAGGGTCCGAGAGGAAAACCTGGAAATCAGGGACCACGAGGACGTAAAGGTGAACTTGGGGAACCTGGTCTACCAGGTTTACCAGGGCCAGCAGGTCCTGTAGGAACATCTGGGCCGGAAGGTATGGCTGGTCCTCGTGGTCCAACAGGTATAGCTGGTCAGAGGGGACGCTCTGGTCCCTCAGGAGTTCCAGGTACTGATGGTCTCCCAGGATTTCCAGGTCAGTTAGTTTTACAATATTAAATAAAAAGACAACTAAGTTTATATTGCCCAGAACTCCTCACTAACCTGATTTTACCATTCATATCTGCCATTCGCACACCTAACCTGATATCTTCACCTCACGACGAGTTGTTTCCGGAGTTAACTAGCTACGTAAATTTGGTCGAAAATCCACAAAGCAGAGTTATATTCTCGTAAGAAATGAATGCAGAGTGTGTCTCTGAAGAAATTTACAAACCCTTCGTAGTACACACATTAAAGTTAAGATTCTTCACTTTTCTATTCAATGATATGAGTCTATCTCTTCATTTCCTTAAGGTCACAGACATACTTGTTTGTAAATCCTAGTGAGTTAAAAACTCATTTAAAAGCTTCCTATAAGTTAATTCTAGCTTTTCAACACTAAAATTTCAGTCTTTGATTTAGAGTTATTTTAAATTCTTGTCACCCAGTGGTTCAGATACTGAAACACGCCTGTAGTCTAATTTTTTTAACATAGATTTTCAAGATGTTCATAGAGTATTCTAGTAACGAAAACGTTCATTGCTTTGTGCTCATCATGTTAATAACCTACTAGTTTAATTTATGATTAAAACATTTTCATTATCAAGCTACGGCCAACAATCTTCACTATTGAGTTGCGTTAATAATGAGATCTGTAACGCTAGTTTTTTACTCTAGAAGTATAACATACTTCTGTTCAAGTCGAATTTTTTAGTTACCAAGCCCCCTTAAAACCGCCGTTTTTTTAGTCCTGTCGTATGACATGAAACTGATGAAGTATCGTCAAATGTTACTTAGAACTATTTAAACTTATGTTAATTTAATGTCGGTTATTTAGTTACTCTGAAGAAGTGGCTTACATTAAGTCCCGAAACGTCAGAAAACAATTTTTCTACTCATTGGGGTATAACAAAAATATATTCATCGGTAACTCTCTACCCAATGTTCAGTTTATTTGAAACAATCAAGTCCAACTTTAGCATTGATACCTATTACTTAGATTCATCGAAAATATTTTACTTAACTCCATTTGAAAATGATAATCAGATTCTGAAAAATTATCAAATATTAGATAAACCCCTAAAATAAAACGTAAATTAATGTTAGATGAATATTAGTGCCAAAAACATTCATTCAAAAATCAATACATGCGATTATTTAAATGTTATAAATTATGTTCAATTGTTTTCGCGTAACAGCTAATGACTCATTTGAGGCTTTTTTAATCAGACCATACTGTCCTATTCATCCATCTATTATCCTGGTTTATCCATCTCATTTTCGCTTTCTAGGTCCCAAGGGAGATGTAGGACCTAAAGGAGATACAGGTCCGAATGGATCAAAAGGTGATACAGGTATTCAAGGACCTAGAGGTTATAAAGGTGAACGGGGTCGGTCCGGTCCCGAAGGTGCAAAAGGTGAGAGTGGCAAACCAGGGCCTGTAGGAGTGCCTGGAGATCCAGGTCCAAAAGGAGTGAAGGGAGACGTTGGAATATCTGGCCCTGTAGGATCGCCAGGAGTTACAGGTATGAAAGGTGACCCAGGTCCACCTGGTCCAGTTGGACAAAGAGGAGACCCCGGGACCAAAGGTTTACCGGGCGCTATCGGCATCCCAGGTCCACCCGGTCCAGACGGGGAAAGAGGTCCACCAGGTTTAACTGGAAGACGAGGTCGAGGCGGTGACAAAGGAGACATTGGACCTCCAGGTTCACCAGGTGAAACGGGGCAGCAAGGGCAAAGAGGGGCTCCTGGGCCAAGAGGTCCACCAGGAAGATTTGGCCCGCCGGGAATGAAAGGGGATGCTGGTCCGGTTGGCCCAGTTGGATCCGTCGGACCGATTGGTGAACAAGGTCTTCAAGGTCCCGTCGGACCTCCTGGACCAATAGGACCACCAGTAAGTCCCATTTTACATGATCGTAAATTTCTGAAAGCAAACGTTTGATCTTTAGTTTCTTAATGTTTTATTTTTGTACAGTTAGTTGACTTTTAAAAGCACCAGTCACGAGAATTTCGACGTTAGTATTCAACAAATTATCAATGTCGTATTAGTTAAGAATTTATCGGACAGTAACTTATGAATTTCAATAACATTACACTAACCACTTCAGTGAGTTTTTAACTGAGATCATTGTTCATTCTGAAAGTGAAATCTCTACACTTGCTTAGACTATCTTATATTTTTCGAAAATATTTCACAGAATTTTTGCACTGTAGCTTCAATAGGAATATCTATACGAGTTTGCAGCATATATTATTCTTGTATAATTAGTACTTTTATCAAAATGAATAAAAATATGTTCGATTGATATTCTTTGTAATTGAACAAGCGACTCATTTTTAAAGCATTGATAAATTTGCTCCTAGGTAAAAGTAAACTATATCTTTTACATAGAGAGAAACCAACATCATAAGCACAGATATATTCATTTATGAATATTTGTGTAATTACTCAATAAATTTAAGATGGTGAAAAATAAGGATTGGTTGAATCTTCTATTATAATCCTAACAATAAATTATTAAAAATTAGTCAGTTATTCGAGAAGAATACAATCAACTACTGCATTTTCAAAGTGAACATTTATTCTCTGAGATTATTTCTCTACTTTCATTATTCTTCGTATTAAAAAAATAAACAGTTCACTTCAACCACTTTTATCTTAACGTTCATTAGGGTTCAACTGGAAGAGAAGGACCTGTTGGATTTCCTGGACCACGTGGAGAACCAGGTGAACGTGGACCAGCAGGGCAACCTGGTAGTCTTGGGAACACTGGACCCCGGGTCCTATAGGCGATCCAGGACCTGAAGGACAACAAGGTCCAGTCGGACCAACAGTAAGTTGCTTAATCTATTTAATCCGTATTCTATTACTCAACTTGTTGGTATTTTGCAGTGTTTAGGACTCAACCTACAGCTCACTATTTTCAGTTCATAACATGTAATAATTCAGCTTTTGTATTCTGTCTATTGCAATAAGATAATAATAATATTGGATTTATAATTGTAGAGCTTGATTAAGAGGTTGTTAAAAACAATCATACGCTCTAATACTAACCGTTCTTATTATTCATTTATGTTCCATAGTTTGAAGATCGCTCCTAAATTGAGTCAAAAAAATACAGATTTTATGATATAACTTTCTAGATTTTAAAGGGGATGAGCAGATTTTTCCATGTTTTAACTGATGTAAGCGCTGTAACTGAATGCTTCTAAACAAATAAAGTATTTATGATAAACATTTTTATGTCACCATAATTTCATGGAAATAACTATCGTTAGACAAATAATATATAAGCAGAAGATTCAATTCATTATCATATAAACTTACTGCACACAATAAAGTGCATTTTGTTTTATTGAAATGTAAGTATTAACAGTTTCCAGTCGCAGAAAATAAAAAATAAAATAAATTGCTAACTGTAAGAAATGGGTTCAAAACAACTTCCTGATTGCTCAATGCCAATGTACATGTAACACTGAATAATATTTAAGGTTATCTGTACTCAAGAACTAAGTATTTATCTTAGATCAAAGTTCCTTTATTTTATTTCATTACATTCTCCTCATCTATAAATTGACTAATAATTTTAGATAATCAACAATGTAAATAAGTATATAATAAACATTTAAAATTCAGAGTTGATATAGCTACTGAAGAAAAGTAAATTGTATATGTAAAACACCAAATCCGAGTGTGGACCAAATTAAAATAATTTTCACTGGACGGCCGTCCAGTGCTTCCAGGTTTCCAACGGTGGTCTAACATCAATTGACTCATGATCTCAACCAAAAACTTAACAATCTCCACAACCCCCATACTGATAAAAGTGTATTTTAGTTCATTTATTTTCTCTGATCTATATGATTTATTCATGAAGATTTCACTGTCTTTTTAGAAAACATCATCAGTGCATCAGACAGATAGATAAATTTTATTACATATTTCAATTTATGTACCTTCTAGTTTGTGTGAAATTCAGTTGGAAATGTTTAATGTATCTAAGTGAACAGAAGTTTGTCGCTTAATCATTATTTGTTTCATGTCCATATTCTTCTTTCACTTTAAAAAAAAACAATGTAGGGTCCAACTGGAGATCCTGGAAAGGATGGTATGCCAGGGCGTGATGGTCAGCCTGGTTCTAAAGGTGTGAGAGGTTCACCAGGAGTACTTGGCAATCAAGGTGTTCGAGGATTCCCGGGATTTGATGGCATGCCAGGTCGACCTGGACCAGCTGGTGTGAAAGGTGAAATAGGACCTGATGGTGAAGTAGGACCTATTGGAGATAAAGGCTACCAAGGTGATGTTGGTATTATCGGACCAATCGGACCAACAGGTGCGTTTAAAAAATATCAGTTTATAGTTTTTCGATTGACAGAATAAAAATTATTGCAGTATGACGAAATAAACTTTGGTATACATGCTTAATATATGCTAAATAATATTTCATTCATGTCAAATGAATGAAACTAGATGACTTTTACTAAGTATTCATCTCAACCTTCAAGTATCCCCTTATGCTATTTCAGTTATAAATTAAATCTCCAAGTAATAAAATGTTTTCCAACTTCTTATGCTCGGTCACCAAAATTCTGCCGCGAATCTGTGTTTTCTTCAATAAAAACAAAACACTACTGAGTAAACACTGATGGTTAAGTTTAAAGACTCAGCTAAATAAATTTTGCGGTGTAGTTCAGTTCATACTATTCTTGCATAGACCAAATTTTCTATATTTTAATTTAAAATGACATGTTAATGCTTTGATTGCCCAGTAAAAATTTGGACTAAATTAACTCTGGGTGAAACACTGTGATAATAACATACTAGACACTTAGAGGCCTCTATAAATGTGATTAATTTTCACTCATTCCCCCTAACTTGGCACTTATATTTGTGAAGTTATTCGACTATATCTTAGTCATAACTTGAAGTAAAACAGGTTTAGATATATTTCACGGGACTGAGAATGGAAAGTTCCCTATAACCGCATACAGTACTAACCAAAAGCTGTTTTTATACTTCTTTAAGCCATTGTATAAAGTACATCATAACAAGACAATCCAATCCGGACATAAATTTATCAAGTTGAAGTATTAGCCTACTAATGAGTAGTGTACTAAAGAATGTATATTTTTAAATAGCCTCAAGAGTGTAACTTACTTGAAATCTTTTAAATCAACCGTATACAGGGGATCTGTTTTATTCACTTATCTACTTACTATAACATTCCATGGGACTAAATCGCAGCTACGATTTTTGTTGAAGACATGTTACCAACTGGATAAAAGCATGAAATAAACTAATAACTTTCTAGATTAATTTCTATAAATTTCCAGGTCCGATGGGAGCAAGAGGCCCACCCGGTCCAGCTGGAGTCAAAGGTTTGACCGGTGAAGATGGTCCTTTGGGACTAATAGGATCTCCTGGACCAAGGGGACCACCTGGTCGATTAGGTCCTATTGGACCGTTAGGGCCTCCTGGTTTTGATGGGGAAAAGGGCGATAAGGGTGCATCAGGGCCACCAGGACCAAAAGGCGATAAAGGAGGAGTGGTAAGTATTTTTGCATTAGTCCTATTTTAAGTGAATATTAAACGTTTTCAATATTTATTGATAATTAATTAGGATATTTTATTATTACTTAAAAACTTTTTATGTGTGAAGTATTGATAAGTTTCCATTTAGTTTTTTTTTAAATTTTAACTTTAAAGGGTTGTTGCCACATTCACCATAAGACAAGTCTTTAGTGTTTTGTATTTTTACAACATAAATCTTGTTTAACTAAGTAGTTTATTAGAATTGCATAATTGTTTTACTCTATTTCATTATAAGGGTATACGTGGACCTTTTGGACCAGTTGGGAGCCCTGGGTTACCTGGAATACAAGTAAGTAATCATTTTGTGAATGTAAGTTTTTTTCAATAAAGCTTAGTAGACCAATTTCGCCTTTTAGTATTTATCGATTTTGAACAAAACAAACATAGGAACAACCATTTAAAGTAGCTACGAGAAGTTAATAGCTTTTTATAGGTGTTATCAAATAGGTTAATAGGATTCAACCAGCCACAATGTAGAAATCTGAAGACTAACATACTTTGAGGAAAACTGGACAGTGTAATGAAAATTTTGAATTCACCAAGAATAGTCTGATCATATATTTACCTATCAAGCAAACTAATGTGAAAGGAAATAAAATTAAAATTAATCAATAAATAGTTGCAATAGGGACGAATATATGGAAGACAAAGTACGAGAAAGAACGAATAATAACTTCCATCAAGATTTCTTTGACAAAAAATTGGATTACAGATTACCGTAGCCGGTTTAGGATGGGGATCAGCCATATTTTGCATATGAAGGTGGGTTGGATTTCTTTATTCTCAGGAAAACACAGCTAAAGATGTATCCTCGACAATTTCTTCGTTAACATTTGAAATCTGTTTTAAGGTTAGTGTTACGACTAGCTCCAACCATGATGTTGAGCATGGAAGAAGATAAATATCTACACTTCGCACTTATTGTGGATTACAACTCTGAATAAACCCACAGTTGTTTCTTCCAACATTTCATCACTTCCAACTCCATGACCTCCGAACGTAACTACATAACTCCTCCCTATGTGTCACTATACACATATGTGACCTGCAATGGCATGTGACATAACCAAGTCCAAGTGAGACTATAGGATTTTTTCTAACAGGAATGTAAAGCTTGATTTCCTAGTACATCTTTCTATGAGTGTTTTTACTGTAAGGTTCAAAAGAATAAACTATTAGACTACCGTATTTATGGTAACGTGATGTAACGAAGGGAATAGTGATATATCAGTAAGAATTTTGATATCAGTAGTATCCACAATGCAGACCAATTCGGATCTTTAAAGAAGACATCCTACAAATATATAATTTGTTAAACTGATTTTTCTTGATTTTAGATTATTGGTTTAACTATTAGAGAAGTCACATAACTTTCAAATGCTACTCTGATAGAAATTTGTAACTACCTGCCTTTACTATTTAATCAAAAAACTTCTACAGAACGATTCGGCTTTCGAACCTGTACCTACGAAATTTCTGGATACCAATTAACGAAAAAACTCTTGAAACATCATCTATTCATAATATACTCGTTTTACTTTATTTAGGGACCACCAGGACTCCCTGGACAAGCAGGTGAGGAGGGACCTGAAGGATTAGTTTGGTCCAGAAGGATCTCGAGGACTGCCAGGTGCACCAGGTGCATCTGGAATGGTAGGTGTGACAGGTCTACCAGGAATAGCCGGAGAAAAAGGAGACCAGGGATCACAGGGTCCTATAGGTCGACGCGGTTTACCCGGGACAGTTGGAGTCCCTGGCCCAGCTGGCCAACCTGGAAATGTTGGAGCACCTGGTCCTGTTGGGCAACAAGGAGAAAGAGGGACTCAAGGAGAAGATGGGCCACCAGGACCTCGAGGTGTTGAAGGAAGTCCTGGAGTACAGGGACCACTAGGACCAAAAGGTCAAGAGGGTCCCCGTGGGCCACAAGGAGTACCTGGTGATATAGGGATCCCAGGACCTGATGGACCGAAAGGAGAGTTGGTGAGTCGTTTCGTTACTTTGAAAGTGTGATTAAACCGCTCAATAAATATATTAATAACATTCTGTACTAAATGGTTACTAAGACAGATGACCTCTAAAAACTAGAGTTAGAAAGTCAGTAGTTTGAAAAAATTCTGATGGAAATAACAAGATACCCTTATACTAGTTAGTTTATTAATCTATGTTCTCTTGTTATGCTATATAAGGAGTCTACAATCATTGAATACATATGCCTTTCGATGGACGATAAGAAAATGTAGTGATTCAACATGAAGCTTTACGTACAACTGATTAGACTATATCAGAGTCTTGAGGCTTAAAATAGGTACTCTCGATTCTGTTAAGTATTTATCTTTAAATAGTATAACGGCACAATTTCTTTATAATGATTAACCATAACTAAATTTTTAGTCTCAGTTCTATTCCGACTTGAAAGTTATTTGTGCCTATTAATAAGAAAGTGAGTTAGTTTATACTAGGATAATAATAAGTAATTAATTGATTCAGTTAGACTTGTTTATAATTTCAAAACTTACTTATGCCTGTTACCCCTCATCAAGGAGCATAGGCTGCCCACCAGCATTCTCCAACCAACTCCCTTCTGAGCAATCATTTCCAGTCGCTATTCATTCTTTTCATATCTGCCTCCAATTCCCGACGCGGTATGCTCCTTGTCCTTCTACTTTTTCTTTTCCCTTCAGGATTCCAAGTTAGCGCTTGCCTCGTAATACAGTTTGATGATTTCCGCAATGTGTTCTATCCGCTTCCAGAATTTTTTCTTAATTTCCTCTTCAGTTGGAAGCTGGTTTGTTCTCGCCCAAAGTACGCTGTTGCTGAATAATTTCAAAAACCGAATTATAAATGCATCCAACTTACCTGAAGTAGTCTTTACAATAGTTTCAATGAGGTTATGATAAGTAAATTGATATTAGAATGCTTCCGAGGTAGAATAAACCGTAAATTGTCATAATACGTTACATATCAGAGATTATTTCTCATAGTTTTCAAAGATTAATAATATATGTCTCCATAATTCCATCATTTGAAATTATTTGGATACTGAACGTATGTTCCAAGCACCATAAACTGACTTTTTAATGGAAATTTTACCTTCTATACTAGGGGATAAATTCGACATTTTATTCCACCCTATTATTTCTTTTGCTCGTATTCAAGATTCAAAAAAGACAAGTTTATCTGAGTGAAACACTTTATTTTATTTTGAATGCTCAGGGTCCTTTAGGAATACCTGGACCTCAAGGACCAACAGGACCTCCCGGACCAAAAGGTGTTCAAGGACCAGTTGGAGAAGATGGATCTCCTGGACCACAAGGTCCTCTTGGAAAACAAGGTTTAAGAGGTCTACCTGGACCTCTAGGACCACCCGGACCTCCTGGTATGACGGGTCCTCAGGGACGTACTGGACCTCAGGGTCCTAAAGGTGTAAAAGGTGAAACGGGTGAACAGGGAGTACCTGGTGAACCAGGACGTGTTGGGCCAGTAGGATCCCCTGGACCTCCAGGATCTTTGGGCAGTCCTGGCCAACAAGGCGTACCAGTAAGTAGTAATTATTTTACTCATCTTATTCATTATGTATTGTTTATTTCTGTACGGAAAGCATAAAGAAGATGCATGACAGTTGATAACTACTTATAATATTCAGATCTTAAGAAATAACCTTCCAGTGAAAATTTTATGGAAGCTAACTAGTTATTTAAGAATCATCTAAAATTCGTGGATTCAAATAACTTTTGTATTCAGTGCTAACTAAAAGAAGTAATTCCAACTGATATTGTAAGTAGAACTCCCCGCTTTTTTTGGTATTTGTCCTAAATAGTAATATATTCTGAGATATCTAGCAAGACATTATATCTGAGGTCGCTCAATTTTTTCGTTTTTGAGTACATAGTGTTTACTCAGTGTTTGCATTATTAATAAATTTCACTAAGTCATTTTAAACGATATTAGTTACTTACCTAATAACAGAACGATAAGCAGAGATGTACCTTCATCCCAGAGTTAATGTTCACTCCTGGACTCGAATCCTGTACCGTTCGCTAATGTACCTCAAACAGAACTAAACGCGTGTCCTGGATTCCACTGCTAGCCACCACCCATCTTTGTTTATAGTCCTTGTGACCCAAGACAATATCAATGCAACACGCACAGGAAGTACATATGTCAACAAGAGACTGATCAGTTGAAGTTTTAAACATCAATGGGAACATTTAAACAAACAATACAAAATGAATTAAACTTCTCCCCATTGCACTAGCTAGTGGCCATCTATACCCAGTAGCTATGTGAATAACACGATGGCGCTTAAAGCGAACAGTACTAGATTCGAGTCCCGGAATGGACATCAGTTCGGATGCAGATACATCCAGCTGACAAGTCCTAAATAAGACTAAACGCGCCTCCTGGATTCTGCTGGTAGCCACCATCTATCTCTGCTTATAATCACAACACTTTATTTATAAACAGACAATCTTAACTTATAGAAAAATAAGGTAATTTTATTCAGATAACTAAGAATTACTTTATTGATCATTAATAATAAACTATAAAACAAAGATATTACTTTAAATGAATGTTACCATTATTCGGTCACCGAAGAAAATGAAACAATTATATCTTTCCGAATCATGCTTTAATACATTTTACCTTTGTTTGAATGATATATTCTTTTGTTTTTATTTACTTGTAAGGCATTCTGGGACATGAATTCCATTCTTGGATACTTTTAGTGTAATACTAACACATTATCAATTTTTATGTGATCTTGTAAATTTCCAGCTGATTATGAGATATTCATTTTACAAGCCAACCAACTGGGAAATATGGAATTCGAACAGCTTAGAATATCTATTTTTTTTTATAAACGTCAATCATTTATTGAAAATATTCAGTTATCAGAATTTGATTTACTGGAGAGAAAAAACTATGTAAGGATAGTCACAATGACAAATATAAAAGTTATCTACAGAAAGATAAATATAACAAAAAATAAACCACATTAATAATGTCGGCAATTTAAAATAATACTGTAAATCACAATGATAATAATAGATTAAACTGATATACATACCTTATAAAGTATGGAAAATCTCAACTGTCTGTTACATGATGATTAAAACGAAAAAGCCTTTACAAATAAAAAAATATGGACAGTAAGATTGTTAATTACAAAGTACATGAATCTAAACCATGTTAAAACAAAAAAAGAAAATTTCTAATGAAAGTGAATGAAAGTAATTGATAAAATGAAGAATTTTTCAAAGAGCACATAAAATCTAAAGCGAATCTCTATTGGGTTCGACTATCAATTCGCATTCAAGAATATTGACTGTGTTCATCAAGTTAATCTGTGTGTAAACTATTCAATTTATAAATTAATAGTATAAGCATGATCATTTTAATGGGCATAACGAAACAATGTTTTTTAAGACTAAGTAAAGTGTATCTTGTTTTATTTTTAATGCAAAGGATGTCATTCTATATTCTTTAATTTATTTTTTTAAAAACTTATTTATAGGGGGTAATGGGTAAACAAGGCAAGACAGGAGAACGAGGATCAGAAGGACTGCAAGTAAACTAATACATATATTTTTTCGTTTTCAAAGGTCTGCTTATTGCTTTGAATAAACAGAATAATATTTTAACCTTTTTTTGGTTTATTCATTATTGAAGTCCCTGATATACATTACTGTAATATTTATTCCTTAGTATTTCTAGATATATTGTCAAACACTATCGCTAAAACCTGTTAACAGAATCTGCTTTAGATTCATTTGAATTTCCTTGTAGATATTTTGTCCCCATAAAAACTATATGTGACTTTTAGCTTGTCATACATAAACCGTAACTGTTATCGTTTATTCATGTACTGAAACAAAATATATCAACAAAATCTATTCTCGTTATGAAATATTTTCAGGGCAAGCAAGGTGACCCTGGTATACAAGGTGACCGTGGTCCGAAAGGTAGCAAAGGAACTTATGGTCCAGTCGGTCCTTTGGGGCCTCCGGGACCAAAGGGTGAACAAGGTGTTCCTGGACTTGAGGGCGTTCGAGGAGTGGTTGGTCTCAAAGGAGAAAGGGGTCCTGTCGGACCTGCCGGAGATCCAGGACAACCAGGTCCATCCGGACCAGTTGGTCCTGAAGGTCCAGCTGGACATCCTGGTCCTCCAGGTTAGTAAATGAAGTTGAATTTGTAAATATAAGTTTTAAATTCATCAGTTTTATATCTTATATATTATCTTTTGTTATTTTCCACACTGCATTATACAAAATACCTGATAATTCTATTTAGTTCCGCAGAAGACAAATAATCGTAAGAAGTTTTGTCATGAAAGCGGGGCTCCATAATTATCTGAGATGAGGCATGAGTTATTAGCAAACTTGAAGTTCAGTAAATATTTCATATTAAAACAGCTTTACTCCTGCATATAGACTAATACTAAACAACTCATTCGATATTCGTAGAGAAATACTCTTGTTTTTTAAAGTATAATTTATTTAAATGAAATCATGCTATGAATAACGTAAAAAAAGTAAAACACTTTTAAGTATATTGGTTCGAGATCTAAAATGAAACGTAAGTTAGTAACTATTTCGTTAAATCATGATTTGCAATCATAAACAACTGATTTTAATACACGTTACCTATAGATTAGGAAGTACTTACGCCAAGAATTATGGTTTCCACATAAACTGAGGTTACTATGAACATTTAAGAGAATTAATTGTTTCAAGTTATTGAGGTAATTGTATTTCTGTATTGTTTACGTAGGTATTAAGTCATTACAAAATATATTGAGCTTCCTTAAAGATAGAACTGAACCTTATTTTTTGTAATTGATGTTTTTTGATTTAAATATATTTTTTTCCTTTATAGGGTTACCTGGTGTTCCAGGTCAAAAGGGTTCATCTGGTCCAGCAGGACCACCGGGACCTCCGGGTCCAATCAAGGTCTTAGATATGAGTGAAGGTTATTATAGGTTTGAGGATACACCCAGAGTTAGACGTAGTATTTCAGATGCTTTGTACAATAATCAATATTATTCGAAACAGGATCCGGGTACGTTATATTGTAAAGTGAATAATCATTTGAATTTTTTCTCTACCTTAGTCCCTCTTATAAGTGTTTCTGTGTAAAATTCCAGGTGGTTCTATATAATTTTTCACCTTATGATTGCTAGTAGACTACATATTAAAAGATCCAAATGTTTATAAGATGCTAACTTTAAGACACCTTTCATCATCTACAGGAATGACCCTCTCATTTTCTTAGCAGAGAAGAGAAATCTAAGATTGACTAAAATGAACACCCAACATAACTAAGTTTTATAAACCCCCTACTTTTAAAAAAAATGGGGGTCATTGACTACGAGAAAATTTTTGTCTTAAAATGTCTTAAATAAACGAATTATGAATCAATAAAAATTAATCGAATGATTCTTTGTTTTTCAAGCCTAACAAGCTATTGTGACTTAAAACCTAAGGTCATAAGCTATATTACTAAAACACTGAACCACAATCTATACCTTAGCTTATTTTTATAAATTTCATACCGTTGGATTAGTTTTGTTGCATGTACGAAAGTTATTAAATTTTAAACAAAATTTTAAAATAATCGTAATGTCAAATTTCTGATTGTCTACTAAAAAGTTCCAACAAGCGTATTTATGTAAGAATAATTAAAGTGTAGTGAACGAGAACATAAGTGGTGACAATGGAAAGTATTTCAATACAAAATTACAGAATCTCTTACTAACCATACAGTAAATACCTCATTTGCAAAATGTCAGTCAATTGTCTCAAGCTTGACTTTTCCTTCTGCAAATGTCAATCAATCGTCTCAGACTTCGTTGTTCTTTCGATTCCACAGCAATCATTCTTTGTTCTCGTTTTCTTTTATTTGATCTTCTTAACTTTCTGTCACTTTCGATTGATAATACCAACTATTTATACCCATCGATCAGTAGCACATGCCACAAAAGTATGTGTAGAAAATTTGTGTTGAGTTAAAAACGATCAACTTTCAAATAATCGCTAATTTCTACGTTGAAATACATTGTTAGCTCCTTTTAAAAATTGAACAAGAAAGTGAAAAGCATAAGTCAACGAACACTTCTTACAGAATATTTATTGCAAATAGATATCCGACCAAAAATAACTTAATTTTATTATCCGAACATTTTTCGTAAAGTTGATAAATCACCGAAGACCATAAAATTAATTAGTGTTCCCACAAATAACTTGTTCTAAGCTCTGTTAAGAAACTACGACCTGTGAATTCAACCAAGTCAGTAGTGAACCAGATGTCTATCGGTAAATTTGAATAATCTTAGCACTATATCACTAGTAAAGTCAGTAAAAGTTAATTGATGAACATAGATCAATTTACTGAACAACATCTTTGTTGTCAAATTTCAAGGTTTTGTACTCAACAATGCGTGGAGTAACAAATACTCACTAATGGCTGTAAAATAAGATTCATTCTTATAAAAATGTTAAGTCATAATCATTTTGTACAGTCGTCCTTTACACTGCATAATCGTAATATTCATTGTTAACGTTCAACTCTGCATATTTCACTACTAAAAACTCTTGAAAAAAAATTATGTTCAAATAGATTAATCGTCAGCTAGTTTATTTTTGTAAAATTATTTTCAAATAAATTGGTTTTAAACAAGATGAGATCTTAAGTATTCAGTCACAAAGGGAATAATTAGGATAGAAAGAAAGTGAAGCGATAATAAGTTTTACTTTTTGGTAAATTTTAGAGTATAGTAAACTAAACTATTCTTTTTAGATATTATAGTTCCATGAAACTTTTAGTTTAAAAGTTCGAATACAGCCTTAATCATATTACTTTTTACTAATAATAATAATTCTGCACAACTTATAGATGAAAGTATTACACCGAATACAATACCATCAGTTGGTGCAGTACTACGTCGTATATATGCAAGAATTGAAAGCTTAGAAGCATCTATGAATAATTTTGAACGTCCTATGGGTACACAACAAAATCCAGCTAGACATTGTCGTGATATATATGAAGCTGCTGATTTTCCAGAAACTTCTAAATCTGGTACTTACTGGATTGATCCAAACCTTGGTTCACCAACTGATGCATTCACAGTTGAATGTAGATTTCAGAATAAGGGAAATGTTGCTGAAACATGCATTAAACCAAGTGAAGATACAAAAACAGTAAGTGCTAATAGAATTTATTATTTCATTTGTTATCTATAAACAAACTATCAATCTTTACGAAATGTTTCTTTCAAACAATCAAGTTATTAATGCTTTTAAGATGAAATAACACTATGTTATAATTTCATTGGATGTATATAAATTATTCTGGCCTTATATAATATTTAACCGTAATAAGTGTCTAGCATCCTATTATAAATTTATTGTAATAAGGAAATTAAAATCATTAAAGTAAAAAAGAATTAATGGACTCCTATTGATGTAGATACAGCAAGATAAATTAACAATAACAGATAGTGCTACCTGATTTCATCAGTTCAAGTTTGTCTAGATTCTAATTAAATAATCTCATATAGTAAAAAGTGTTAATAAAGATAAAAATATGTGGGTATCATTATCAAATTTTGACTTGATAATTTCGAATGAATTAAGCATTGGGTAGATGGTTATCAATAGTCATCAAAATTTTGATTTGGTTATTTCCTCTCTGAAGAAGCGGCTTACACTGAGTTACGAAACGTCAGAAAATCTTATTTTTCTACTCATTGGGATATTACAAATATATTAATTTATTGATAAATAAAATGTGTTCACCACTTATTTCTTATCAGAAAAACCAATAACCAAAGCGAAGTTTAAAGTCATCTAGCTAGTTGTGTCACATAGCATGCTTATTCTACACGAGCTTAGTTGTTAGAATCGATCAACCATTAATTGTGATGCCTCAAATTTAAATCTTATTCAGTCTACATAGGTATGACTATCTGGGAATTACTACGAATTATTATATCTCAAGTTTTTGTCAAAAGCTGACACATGAATGAATCTCTTACTATCCACTAAGCTACATTACATTTGGGTCATAATTTTAGCTTGACTATTTCAACGTTAACCATGAGTTTTTGTGTAATAATAATGATTGACAACCAAAATAAGCTCATGTAAACCAACAATATGAAATAATTCGGTTTACTACTGATTTTCATTTAGAAATTGTTTACTTGAATAGAAACATCTAGTCACTTGTTTAAACACATAATAATTCACTTTTTATGTATTCCTCTACAAAACTAATTATGTTTTTCTTTCTGTTATTCCAATAAACATATTTGTTCGTTTTTCAGATAATCATTAAGCTTATTTTCTGTAATAAACTTTTATCAGATTGATTTAATACATAACATTTCGTCCACTATAGAGCGCAGATTCCCTTAGTATTACAGGTGCACCCTGTTTGTAAGAGCCAAATAGCATGAAATCTAGGTTTGTAGTATCTTGTCAACTACATCTAATTACTTGACATTTCAACATAGTGCGCATAATTTTGAGTCATTTAAAATCAGTGGCCAAATTGCACCCTGATCAATAGAATTCTTTCGACACTAAAACGACTAGACAAACACGACATCGGATACCCATCAATCTGTTATAAATCTATAAGATATGCTTTTTACTAATTCCGATGGATTTCGCTAAGTTTACAATGATATTTCATCATGCAACATGTAGTGTTACAGAATTATATTGAATCTGTAAATCTCGACGATTTAAACTCCTGCCAATGTAAGATTGTAAAACAAATATTAGGTACATAAATCTACAACTGTAATTGTAGACTATCGGATAAACTGGGAACATCAAAACTAGATTTGTAGTGAACAAGAGCTCAGGTGGGGAGAACCAATTTATCATCTAATTCACAATCATATAATGGTTTAGTAGAATATGAAAATCATACATCAAATAAATCATTTGCATATCTCTCAATTGTCTTTTACATCCTTCAAAATCTTTCCAATCCTATTTTTATTCCAATTTCTTTCTCTTCTCTTCTCTTCAATTTTTTTTGACAGGCATACCACTTTTGATTGGTTTTACCTACTACCTACATCTGTCAACTTAACTAGCATATACCACAGGTTCATTTAATCACGTCACTGATTTCCCTTATGTCTATACTACTTTTTTCTAATTAGAAAGCACCAACAAGTTATAACGAAGCTTATTTCTCATATTTAAGTAACATTTTCAATATACGAATATTTGCTACTGTATTTTACTTTTCTTTGCAAATTATAATATCATTAATGAATTAGGTCACTATATTTAATTAGATCAAGCTTATCGAATGGTAATATCTATCTGAAAAAGTTAATGTCAACAAATTAACCTCTTTTGGTTGTTCTGACAACAAACGGATGTATATTCTGCTTATTAGAAAAAACTCAAGTGTTTTAATCAATTGACTACCAATTATGTAGCTGAATTATGAAAACTCCTGATCTGCGTATAATCGAAGTGTAATGAGTGTGCAATTTGACAATGTTCGTATCGATCCATTTTTGTTCCTTTTTAAATTCTAGAAGACAAACATAAATCAATCCACTTGAAGTTCATTACTGTGTATTTAATAAACTAATCACTTAAGTCGTAGTTTGTTTCACTTATTGAATATAATACAACTTCTTCAGATGATAAATTACTATCTAATTAAGATCAGTCTGTACTACAAAATATATAAGTTTCTATCTTATAAATTTCTTTCCTATTTAAGTTCCCTCTAATTTAAATCATTTATAAACCGGTTTCTTTTCCTGAATAAATATAAAAAGGGTCATTTGTAATTGGATATGTAGAATAAAAACAACTGAAAACTATTAAGTCCCATTAAGGCCGAGTTTATATAGTTTATTATTGGAAAAGGACTAAGTGACATTAGAATGATGCGTTTCGTAAACACATGGAAGAGTCGTAAACAAAAAATCGAAATATTATTACCACATCATAATCATTCAGACTATCAAAAATTATATGGATTTCTATTAAAACAAATTTCAGTAAACAAAGAAGACTGCTGAGTTAGCTAGTAAAATAATAAGTGAAGAATGAAATTTCAAGGTGGAAATACAAGATTCTCAGGTTCGAAAAAAGGGATTTTCCCATACCCTTTGATTTTAAATGATTATTCAGCTGTTTTCAACTTAATCATAATTCTTTATCTATAATAATCTAGATGATTTCTCACGCGATTCAAAGTAAACTGTAAATCTCCAAGCTGTTACAATATATTAGGCTTTGTGTATAATAAACATTAATTACCCAGTTTTTTTCTCAATGAGCTGAATGATTTAGTAACGGAGCACTTATTATGATAATAAATCACAAATGTAAACTCCAAATATATGATTTTATCTATCTTGACTGTAAAAGCTATTTTATGCTTCTACTAACTGTAGGAAACCCAGCTCCTTATAAGACATAATAGTTTGTTTAGACTGAAATCCAGAAAACTTTATTTTGATGTATACAACTAATGGCCAATTATTTCACATGTTATTTTTTTATTGATTTGGTTTCTTGATAATGCTTAATTGGGAATTACCTACTAATTGATTATATATAAAAAAAAGTCTTTTGAATTCCGTGACGCTTACAAGATCAGTGTATTGATGTACAGCTATTCGATTAAAAATTTATGGGTTGCTTTTATCCATTCTTGTAAAAATTTTCTACTTTTGTTTCGATTACAAAACCCACGTTGGTTACTTAGTTTACAAGTGACAATAACTTATGTATGGTTCACAGAAATGCACCAGAACATCAATTAATATTTTTTTAAATGATAGTTTTGATTCAAATGCTTCTCATAATATTCTCAGAGATAGTTAAACAAAACTCTATTATGATCCGTGATTTTTAGCCTTTTTCACTACCTTCAAATAAACAAATCAGTCTACTATTACAATCAACGAAATTGTTAATAAGTTGATAAACCTTGTTGTTTATCTATGTTTCAGCAACCTCTTACTAATTTTGTTAAAACAAATAATTCAGAAGACTGGTGGATTTCACATTTAAAACAACAGAAACAAAATGGAACAATGCATAAAACTCAAGTAACATTTCATTTTCATTGAGTTCTTCATTGTTTTGCCTTGATAAAATTTATTTTTGTTCATTTTCATGAGTTAGTGATTTTTATTAAGATTTTCACCTATAAATTTTCAATACAAAACTAGTGGGTTAGTCTATAATAAGTGCACTAGGAATAAATAAAAGTGGCTGAACTGTCACATAGTCTTGATTATTGGTATTTGTTAAATGGTCAGATTGTTGTAGAAGTAGTCAGGTAGAGGAATGAAACGGTCGCCTTTTGATTTTCCCCTTGATAAAAAACAAGCCAATCGTGTAATGAAGGAATAAATCAAGACAGCCCAACGAGCAGAATTCTCCTTACAATTATATTATTTTTTAAGCTATCGACTAGTATTTCGTGTTGACTTTATATGTGTATGCTTAGGCCTAGAGATTTTATAAACTACTCCACTCAGTAAATAAATACGAAGCCAACAAATAAACGCCTACTTTAGAGAGAACACAAATTCAAAGTAATCGATCTTTTAAAAATCTTTTAAAGATCTATTAATAAGTCGTCCAAATGTGGGTGGCAGTATTGTTCTATCAAATCGTTTGAACAATATCAAGAAAATATTTTCCATGCTATCATATGTAGACAAGTCTTTTAAAGACAAAACTTGAAAAGATACCACTGAACAGATTGAAAAGTTTTAGAAAAGATGAAAGACAAGTCAGTTATCATCTGTAATCCTTATGGACAATTTAGACTATCATGATCCGTTGTCCTACGACTATATAGTCTCTCTAAAGTACACAGAAAAGATGTCCCTCTACTTCCTATGTTGTTTACGTATAATTCACCACACTACATTAATGCTAAATGGTTGACTGAAATTTTACAACCAATCTGAAGTCAGCGTAATAGAAAAGAAAACATCATCAGATTTTACTTCTCACTTTACAAGTGTTCCGCCTACGGAAACAATATGCTTCATATATGACTAGGTTGAAAACAACAAACTCGATTTTGGTGTTCCAAAACATTATCTGAAGGAATTACTTATTCCATGCATTTTTAACGTTCAGTTCAGATTTTATGATGAGTTTTATGAACAAACCAATAAAGTAGCAATCGGATCACCCCTTGGCCCATTCCTGGCAGAATGTTTTATGGCCAATACGGAAAATACTATACAGTAACTAATGGTCAACAGTTTCCATATGTAAAAAATATTTTGATGATGCTTTCATAAAAGACAGAGTGGAAAAGTTTAAGAGTTGTTACCAATCACTCAAGTTTACAGAGAAATCAGACCTGAACTCAAAGTTTCACTTCTTGGATGTTCTGTCAAACAGATGAAAGAATGATTTGTTACAACAGTGGACATGCACACAACCCATCTTCAAAGACCAGCACAAGAAATTTCGTAGTTGGGTAGGGCTGAGTAGGAAAAATACATAACCCACTATCCAACCTCAAGAAACAGACGAATAAGCACAGACGACACGATAGGTGATGAGTTAAATTCGTTTCGACTAATATTTATGGGGAAAAGTTCCCAGCCTAGGTTCATTGACAGAAACCTAAAACCGAAAGATCAGGTTGAAAGAACAGTTCCGAACAAAGTTTCATTCCTAAACATTGAATTAAAAAAAACGGCAAAAGAGGTATTGAAGAACAGACTGTCAAGATCTTTCGGAATGACCCTTTAATAAGAAGAGATCCGAACTGTCTTATCCAGTAAGTATTTCATTAGGGTAAGTGCCAACGATAAACTTCAACTTTAAGCCACCTCACTGTTCATTTGCCAATCTACTTGCTTTTGTAGAGCAGGTTATATTAACCTCACAAAGCGCGCTCTTGACAAACGAACATCCAAGTACTACCCAGAATGGTTATCTAAAGAGAATCGCAGGTTCATTAACAGATCAGTCCTTAAAATGCCATCAACTCTGACCACGTGCCACCAATGGAATCGTTGTCCTCAATTCTCTACAAAGTTAAAAGAATTGTTTCAAATAAGGTCCGAATTAGATATGTGTGCACCGTTGAAGATATAACAACTTATTAATCCGAACCTGGCCTTTGTGTTTAGGAAAGTCACATTCAATAATTTATTCCACCCCGACTTTGGTACCCCTTCTAGTTTTTCAAAACGTTGGTGCCAACCACTATCTTACTCTTCACCCTCTTCTATTTTTGTAAAGTGAATGGTTATCTTTTGGACCTTTTTTATGAATTATTATTTCCTATTACTTCAAAGTTTATTAAATAACCTGAACGTAGTTATTGAAACCTTTGATAATTTCTATTTACTTTGTTAAATGATGCAATATCTTTCTATTTTATAAACTACTATATTTCACACTTATAAACCTTTTACCATCCATCATAGCTTTACTTGATGATACGATACTCAGATTTTATTATAGACAGCCACATGTAAATTACCTGTAATAAAACTGTGCAGCTTAAGATGACACTGTTGAAAAGAACATTTTTCTACTAATTTACCTATACTAACCCTTAATACTTGAAAATAAAGACTTTAGTTTTCAATTCAAAGATACAATTTTCATGATTGTGTATTACCGAATCCCTAAGATAAAAATAATACAATAGATTTTCGTACTCTCTGACCAAGGACATTGAAAACTATCAACAGAACACTTCACGAAGAAGAAGAAGAATATTAGATAAAGGCTAAATCCTTTTAAAAAAAGAAAGTCTTTTTTGATGAAACACAAGCGAAATTAATTTTTAGTTTGATCTATTAAGTAAAGAAGTAATCGTTTAAATGTCGTTAATATCTCACTGTAATCTAAATCACTTTCAACTGTAGATATTATTCTCATATTCATCTAAAATCATTACTTCTACTAACTTTATCAATGATCACTTGAATCAATGTTATTTATTTTGCATACAAATAGATGTGTGATCAAAGATGGATAGTGGCTAGCAGTGGAATCCAGGGCGCGCGTTTCGTCCTGTTTGGAACTCGTCAGCTGGATGTACCTGCATCTCAGAGTTGGTGTTCACTCTGGGACTCGAACTCAGTACCATTCGCTTCAAACGCCATCGCGTTATCCACTTAGCTACTGAGTCCTGATAGCCATTTACTTGTGCAATGGGGTGAAGTTTAATTCACTTGGTATTGTTTTATTTGAATCTTCCTATTGATGTTTTAGGACTGAGTGAACATCAACTCTGAGATGCAGGTACATCCGGCTGACGAGTCCCAAACAGGACGAAACGTGCGTCCTGGATTCCATTGCTAGCCACTATCCATCTTTGCTTATAATGCTTGTAAATTAAGGCAATATCGAGGCATACGCACAGTATGCACATATGTCAATAAGAGACTGATCAATTTCAGTCCTAAAAACATAAAGTAAAACAATATCAAGTGAGATGTGTGATCAGTTTATTTGAAATATATTGTTACAGTATATTATCTAGTTATGATCATCTATGGTCTTCTCATTACATTATCTAAATTTATTCATATCATTAACAAGTATTAATTTTTTTTTTAATTTTATTTCTATAAAGTTATATTATGCACCAATAAATCAAATTCGTTATCTACAACTATTACATTCAAAAGCTGAACAAGTGATCACTTTTACATGTCGTAATACACCAGTATATTTTGATGTGAAAAATCAAAATTATAGGAATGCAGTAATCGTTAAATTATTTGATGAAAATGTGATTGATACTTATGAAGATAGACGTACACGTACTATTGGTGGTGGTATTATGTTAGATATCAAGGTTAAAGATGAATGCATGGTAATTATTAATAACTATTAGTAATGACAGTTAAATTTTATTATTGTTATTTCTATTAATTCATTATATTAACTTTTTTATATGTGGTTCTTGATTGCTTATCTTGTTAAAGTAGAATCTTTATTAACTATTTATTGAAAAACTTATATTCATAGGTTAGAAGCTCTCCCCCTTGTATTAATTAGTTAATTTTACTTATCAAAAAGAATGAATACTTACATTATATATATGCATCTTTTAACAATCAGATCTTGACAATAGTGAAATTTGATTACAGGAAACAAATTACTGGCACCAGACAATACTTATTTGTACCATCAATCTCTCAAAGACCATTTCAAATGTTAATATTTTTGTTTAATAATTGAATTTAATTGAAACTAGACCACTATGGATAATTTAGAAACACTGAACGACCGTTTTCAGGTTTTCCATGGTGATCTAACTTTAATTGACTCATGAATTCAACTTTTAAATTACTATAATATTCACAAAAACCCTTCTCTGAATATTTTTATAACTTAAACTGAAAACTAAAACTGTAATTGAAAAATATATATATTATTTATATGAAGTATGATCTAATACTGGAAACATAACTTTATCACAGTTTCAAACAGTGATCATTTAATCTTATTCACTAATCTAAACAGTCAGATTTGAAAATCACAATAACTAAGTATACTGTAGACTAATTAATCATCTGCTACAACGATAATTAATAATCGAAAAATAATAAAACTATAGAACCAAAGAAGTTTGTAAAAAGAAATATATTGCAAAAGATTAACAGGTCATATGGATGATTTTAATTATTCTAATTCTATAAACGAAATAGTTCGATTTAGAAATCTTTATTGTCATTTATATAACATTAATAGAAATAGGTGATTGATAGCTTTGACTATACATGAAAATGACTATCTTTCTAAGCTATTTATAGTACTTCTGTAATAAATTTAAAGTGAAAAAAAAACTAAGAAATATATAGAATACCTTTATGTCTAATAATAAGCTACATGATTAGTGATTTACTAGTACAATTATTCTATTCAATACTGTTTTTTTATTGTTTATTTTTAGGAACGAAGTAAACAAAAAGCCAGTAGTGTATTTGAATTTGTCACCCGTAAACCAAACTTACTTCCATTAGTTGATATTCAATTAAAAGAGTTTGGAGAAAGTGATCAAGAAATTGGATATTATATGGATGCTGTTTGTTTCAGTTAAATTTGTCATCATTGGTATTTATGATTTAATCAATAAATGAACTATTATTTAAGCTGAATAATTTTATACCTTTTTTGATTGTTCGTTTCTCCGGCTGTTGTAACTTACTCTGGTTATATTTGTATTAGTTAACTAGTGAATAGTCACGATAGATTATCGGGTAGCAGGAAAACTTTATGTTTCTTTTTCTATGATGCAGTTTTTTTTGTGAGTTCGTCTTACATATTAAATTGATTTTAAGCTATAGTTTAGCAAATACATCCACCTCTTTAATATATCTTTCGCGTTCAATTTTCATCTCATTATAACTAACAAACATGAAATAATTTTTGATTGAGATCATGAACCGATTGGCGTTAGACCATTGTTGGAAACCTGGAAGCACTGGACGGCCGTTTCGTCCTATTGTGGAAATTCTCAGCAATGCGCATCCACGATCCCGCCCGCGGGATTCGATCAATCGGTTCATGATCTCAATCAAAAACTTAATGATCTCCACAACCCCTATACTGATGGAATAATGCCTTAATCACATGTTTTCCTTTACTATTACTTAGGTAAGAAATTTTGAAGCAAATCGTTGTAGATATGTTCTGTTTGTTCTAGTTTTAATTAACAACATATCAAGCTAAATTCAAGAATTTGAATGTTGTTCGAAATATACGGACCAAAGTTTTTTCCATAAGGTGAAGAAATTTAAAATATATTAGATAAAGTTATTCATTGTTTTAATAATTTACAGTTTATAGTTCCTTATATTATTAAAAACCTATTATATATCGATTTATTAAATGAAAATTTGTTCACATTTACAATGTGAGGACATTTGTAAGATTTGGTTATAAATATCAATAGAAAATAAGTCACTAAAAAGACTAAGTACACATGTACTAATAGAATTCTTTATAGAATTACTTGTATATTCTAATGTAAATGTATAATTTAGGCTAACAAACTACTTTTGACATAATTATTTGTATCCATCGAATATAGAAGCGTTAAAACACTGAATAAGTAGCCATTGAAATGTAAATTATTTTCATTGATAATTTCGATCTGAGAAAGATACCTTTTAAAACGTAATACTTACTTACACCTGCTACTCCCAATGGAGCATAGGCCGTCGACCACCATTCTCCATCCCACTCTGTCCTTGGCCTTCCTTTCTAGCTCGATCCAATTGTTGTTCATTCTTCTCATTCTGTCTCAATTTCTCGGCGTAATCTGTTATTTGGTATTCCTCTCCTCGTTTGGCCTTCAGGATTTCATGTGATGGCTTGCGTCGTGACGCAATTGGGTGCTTTTCTCAATGTGTGCCCTATCCACTTCCAGCGCTTCTTCCTGAGTTCTTTCTCCGCTGGGATCTGGTTTGTCCTCTCCCACAGTAGGTTGTTGCTAATAGTGTCTGACCAACAGATCTGAAGTATTTTGAGTAAAAAACTGTTAATAAACACTTGTATCTTCTGGATGATGGCTTTCGTAGTTCTCCAGGTTTCCGATCCATACAGTAGAACTGCCTTGACAATTGTATTGAAAATCCTGACCTTGGTGTTGGTTGATAGTTGTTTTGAGTTCTAGATGTTCCTCAGTTGTAGATATGCTGTTCTTGCTTTGCCGATCCGCGTCTTCACATCTGTATCAGATCCACCCTGTTCATCAATGATACTGCCCAGATATCTAAAGGTTTTTACATCTTCCAAATCTTCGTCAATTGCGATTGAATCGTTGCATGCTATGTTGTATCGGAGAATCTTGCTTTTCCCTTTGTGTATATTGAGACCTACTGCTGTTGGGGCTGCTGCTACACTGGTCATCCTCTCCTGCATTTGTTATTGCGTGTGCGATAGAAGAGCCACATCATCTGCGAAGTCTAGATCATCCAGCTGCATCTTAGCTGTCCACTGTATCCCGTGCTTCCCCCAAATGTTGATGTCTTCATGATCCAGTTGATCACCAGGAGAAAAGAAAAGGTGAGAGTAAGCAACCTTGCCTAGCACCGTTCTTTACCTCGAACGAGTTTGTCAATTGTCCTCCATGCACGATTTTGCAGTTTAATCCATCATAGGAATTCTGTATGATATTGACTATCTTCTGATGAGTTCCTTTAAAACGTAATAATCTACCCCAATATAAAAATTATTTGCATTGTCTTTATTCGCGTACAAACCTATAACAATCACATGTTTAAAAGAATAGTGATAGAATCCATATGCGTAGAAACAAGAGTTATGAGAAATTCCATAAGATATAAATCATAGATCTGATGGGTACATTTTCGGATGACTCAAAATAAGAATCTACTGGTAATAAACAACAGACAAACGTTTAACAGGCAATAAATATGGGTCGTTAGTGTTAAGTAATAATGACGGAAAAATGCATATATTAATGAAGAAAATATGAAGACCTCCACGTCTGACGAAAGCACGAAATACAATGGACAGCTCTCAATAAACTAGACGATTTGGACTTCCCAGATGACTTGACCCTTCTATCACACACACACACACGAACAAATGCAGGTCAAGACAAACAGCATAGCAGCAACCTCTGAAGCAGTAGGCCTCAACATACAGAGAGGAAAAACCAAGATCCTCAACTGCAACACGGAGAACACCAACTCAATCACACTTGGTGGAGAAGCTCTGGAACAGATGGAATCTTTCACGCACCTGAACTGCATCATCGGTGAACAAGGAGGATCGGATGCAGATGTAAAGGCAGGATTGGCAAAGCAAGGACAGCATTCCTACAGTTGAAAGACATATGAAACTCAAGACAACTGTCTGCAAGTCAACATCAAATTCAGAATCTTCAATACGAAAGTCAAGACAGTTCTATTGTACGGAGCTGAAACCTCGAGAACCACTACAACCACCAACGAAAAGATAAAAGTGTTTACAAACAATTTTCTACGCCGGATACTCGATGTCCATTGGCTAGATACCATAGGCAAAAGCCTATTGTGGGAGAGAACAAATCAGCTTGCAGATGGAGAGGAAATTAGGAAGAAACTCTGGAAGTGGATAGAATGCACATTGAGGAAATCATCAAACTGAATCGCGAAGCAAGCACTATCTTGAAGGGGAAAGAGGAAGGCCAAAGTACACATTGCGCCGAGAATCGGCAGAAGACATGAATAGGATGAATAGCCACTGGAAAGGATTGACCAGGACAGAGTTGGTTGGAGAATGATGGTGAGCGACCTATTCTCCTTCACGAGGAGTGACAGGCGTAAGTAAGCGAGTAAATAGTAATGAAGTATTAACAAACTAATCATTTTACATGATTTCAACGTTTAGATAGAGCATTGTCATATGTTTAAAGATACATCCTATGGTTTTAGGATGGCATTTAAAAAATTTAATTAAACTACAGTTATTCAACATTATGTACTGATGCTAGTCGAACGTGGCTAAAAATATTATGGTACAAATATTTGTTCATTTTCTAGTGGAAGACACTTCTGTCGCATATAGCTTGGACTTAATTTGAAAGTTAAATTTGAACAGTCAAGTAATATCAATGGTCGTTACACAAACAGCAATATGAATCATAGTCAATTACATAAATCTTAGTAACCGAGTTGAGTTATCGTTACCATTAATAATATTAGTGGACTAAACAATGCTAATTGTATCACAAAACCCGACTTCTAACTACCAGTTTGTTCAGGTTCATTCAAAATTAAATTTACGTTATTTACTCACATACCAATAAACAAAACTTCGACTACTGAAGTGTGGTAGTACCCATACTCATGATAAATCAATCGACTATTAGATTTTTGAATTTTATGGGTATATCCTTTGTAATACTACATTTATTATTCTCTGTAAAATAACAACTACACTTCTGTTTAAATGGCGCATTTAGTTTTCAAAACCATTAAAATAAACATAAAGGTGAAGAATAAAAATAAATAATTATGATAACTATTTGTGAATTAATTCACTTGATATTGTTTTACTTGAATCTTCCCATTGATGTTTTAGGACTGCTAGCCACTATCCATCTTTGCTTATTTGTGAATTATTTTCTTGTTTAAGTATTGTAAATCTTTTATCAATTACAGAGATAAAAAGCAACAAGTCAGCTGCGCAACAGAAAAGAATATTAGATAAGCAACGATAATAACCCATATTTACTGTAAACTTGGTTTGGATAGGTTTATAGATGTGCGCTTAATACAATTAGCTTAAGACAGCTGCTTATTTAAATGTTTACAACTGCAAAGAGGAGAAGACTTCTAGATTATAGCCGTGTATATTTGAAAAGCCACCTCATAAACCCCCGATGTAGCAAATTATCAATAATTTATCCAAACAAAAACTAACTCCTATATGACTGAAATAAACGAATAAGGTCACTCGGTAATGACCGGTTCTGTATATCCTTGTATCAACCGAACCTGGATAAAATTTTAATATGTGGGGACTAACAGGATTCTTTAGACTATCAAATAAATTCAATGGTGATGTATATGTTATTAGACTAGGAGCCATATTTAGAATTAAACTGGCAGATTTTTAATGTAAAAGCCCTATCTACCAAGTGAAAAATTAGCATACACTTCGTCTCATTGTATAGTCAGCTATTCCTAACCTTTTCAGTGTCTACCATCTTAGTTTTATTATATTCTAAAGCTGATATAAAAACAATGACTTCTGTTTACTACCCTGAACTATAAGTCTTTGACTCTAATTGACCAGACTGTTACTCACCAAAAGAGGTTGGTAAGACTCCTTACATCACAAAGTGAGTTTCAGGTTTCAATACTATAATAGCTAACAAGAATCAATGGAATGACGCCTATTCCTTAATGGAAATATCTGAGACTAAACCCTCAGCACTAACAACTTATGCGTAAATTCTAAAATATGATTTACAGAAGTTTATAGCTTTGTAGGTAGATATAACTGTTGAAGAAATTAGTTATTCGTCATAACTAAATTTTATAAATAGCATCATAGACCGATTTAAGCCGAAAAAACTGACAAAAATAAGAAGCACTAGACAGTTATTTCTTCCTAATATAGCAATACTCAACAATGTGAATCCACGATCCAGCAACAGATCGAACCAAAAACCTTCAGGTCATGCCGCGAGCGCTTAACCTTTAGATCACTGAGTCATTATTCAATGGTTTGCATATCCAACTTGAATCAACTCGCGATACTGCGTAACCACTTCCCAATGTCACTGGTGAATAAATACCTCACATCCTGCATGGTTGAATTCTACCGGTCACAGCTTATCTCTCAAACTCCGAGAATCGCTCCCCGTGATTAGTCCGAAGAGAACACATTGTTATTATTACACTAGATAATGACTTTAACTATGAAATATAACCATCCCTACAAACCTTTCACGGTCATAATCAGCTACTATGTCTTATCAATACTGTTGGAGCTGGAAAATGAAGACAATGACGTGGTTAAAAGTTATGAAAGGTCATCTATTAAAAGAGGATATTCTATCACACCACAATGTAATACTAAGTACTATATCTCCAATTTAGTAATAAGACATTTAAATAACTTCAATAACCAGTGTTTTCAGTCCAAATTCATGAAACGAATATATTCAACGCTAACGAAACCCAAACTCTGAAAAAATAATCGACTCCAACCGAAGTACTAAATAAATCATAAATTTAGTTTTAAACTTGACTACAGTCACTATCCAGTAGGCCTAGACAGTTCAGTTAAGCTTAAATATCAGGACAAGTATATTTATGACAAGCAAATACTTTATATATACGTCCGAACGAAAAAAACATATCCAAATTTCTATTTAGATGAGATCCTTTGCAACAATAAGTAATGTGGTGGTACAGACATACTGAAAGTAGTAATAGCAGTTTAAATCAAAAACTTTTAGTAGACATTCAAGCCACATGATTTAAGGCAGTTCAAGCTGGCACATTAACATAAAAAAACGTAAGTCCATAGGGAGAGATAATAATGGCAATGACAATACTGATATTAATCACAAAACCCAAAAGAAAAGCCTTGGCAAGCGGGGGAAAATGATCAAGGAAGATGTATATTGGTAAAATATTCATTTACAAAACCGATATCACTAGGTACATATGTGCCCCATCCCCGTCGCCAATTGTTGTGCCGGAAAAACAAAAACGCTGAATCACTTATACTCAGAACGACGGACCTCGGCAATTCCCACGATGCGAAAGTAAGAACACAAGTGAAGATTTATTAGCCCAAACACTATGACAACGACGAATCGAATATAGTCTAAAATACACTGGTTTATATATTGATTGTACACACATTTTGATTAATAATTAGGATTAAATCACATACTGAGTATAGTTCATGTCAACTGAATACAAGAAAATCGTATATTATACAGAAGAAAATATCATACTGGGAAAACAAATCAAATACTAAGCTGAATGATCACCACGTTGAATCAAGACGGATGTAGTGTTGAATAAAACTCATAATGAGTAATTCAATCGAAAACTAACTTTTCTTTCCATCATATCAAGCAATAATTAATCTACTGGGTATAACTCGGGTCCTAACAGTTTCCAACCAAACCTGGTTCGCAACACTGAGGTTCCTTTCTTTCGCAAGTCCCAGTGAGACAAGTGATATTTTTATTTATCCTTCAGATTAATAGCCATTAGCTGATGTAGTCTTACTCTGGCTAATACAGTCCATCAAAGCAAGAGCTGGCCGGGTCTAAGTAACACATATTTCGACCATACTAACTGACATACTTTCACTTTGGAATGTACTCACAACTTCGAAGCTGTTTACTGAGAGTCTGCAATCACACACATACAACACATGTGAGATATAAGTGGTCAATCGTTTGTTGGACAACTGATGAGATAGGAAACAAGTGATCATGACATATTGCAAATATTAAACTCTTGCAGCTATAACTGCAGGCAAATAGCTGTCGTTTATCAAATGCTGTCACTGGTTGATAGGCAAACTACCGCTCTGATAGGCAAATAAGACTCAAAAGGACGGTGCTGATACTTGGAAAAATAACAGAAAGGTTAAACTGTCTGTGCACATTTCTAAAGAAATTCAGATTATGAAGAACCTCATACGTGAAATCAAAATATGGAAGAAATTTATTACTAAGCAAAGTAACGAGTGAATATAAAGATGAACGACAAGGACAAATCTGCTGTAAATACCTGTCTTTTTCTTTACAAAAGGATACGAGAATTACCCACATCACCTAGTCAGTGATCGATATTGTAGGACCTAGTACAGACGTGTATCACATGTTACCACATTTTATATCAGGAAAAAGAGGGGGGACTTAACAAGACAAAAATTAAAGGATGAGAATATCAGTACTAACTACAGTGGAATAACTCAAAGTCCAAAATATAGATCGTTGCATACTACGATTACCTTAGAGATACAATACTGACGAATAACTAGTGATATTCAACTTCACATAATTCGCATATCACACAGTCAATAATGAATCCTATACTCATGATAGTTATCGAGCAAATCCAAAGATTACCAGGACTTCTATGCGGTAGAATAGCAACTATGACGTCTATGATGAGTGATTTATTAACGAATGATGAAAGTGGATAAGCTCATAATTATTTTGACAAATCATCAGATAAAACAAACGATTAATACACTTATCGACACAAACAGTTCCCAGACAGCTGGAAGAAGTTTCTAAGGTTATTTGTATGAACTTAGATACATTTCACTTTAACAATGAAGAGTAATATAACGTGAATGTCACGTGCAGAATATGATACACAATCCTAATTAAGATCATACTCATACTTGATCAGAAATATTTATTTGCCTAGACAAAACAGAAACGAGCAAAGGTACTAGATCTATATGTTGTTGTTCGTGGATAAAATAGCGTATTATTTGTATTTGGAAAGGTGATCGAGATACAGAGCAATCTATCAACAATTGATTCACCGTAAGACCATCATCCCTACTCTCGTACCTAATTACATTTGAACACTGAATTACAGAATTGAACCAAGGAATACTGAAGGACTAGAAGCTAGTTAACGGAACTCGGTAACAAGATAATTCCCTTCGAATCAGAAACCATATTGAGTATAGTTACGACTGTTCAGAAAGCTGATTATCCATATCAGAATCAAACACATACATCCTGAACTGTTTATTAAGGCCACGGACCTATTTACGTAAAACATGTATTGAGAATTCGGAAGCACTGGACGGCTGTTTCGTTCTAAAGTGGGACGCCGCGATAACGCGCATCCACGACCGCACCATCGAGGATCGAAATTTGCATCTTTGGTCTTGCTCGTGGACGCTTAACCCGTAGACCACTGAGCCAATGTTTAATGATGCGCAAGTCTAGCTTTAATCAATTCACAATATTGCATTGTCTTCAATGTGTACCCTTCTCACATCCGGTACGTACTGAACTCTACTTGTCACAACTCACGAGAACTACAGAAACTTCCTCTCAAAGCTAGGCACCAGCGAACAAAATAATTATCATGGGGTTTTGGAAATCATTTGTTTCTAACTAAACTCTGCTTTTAGGAACCATAGTAGAAATCTAAACCGAATAAAATTCATTGTGGAGAAACGAATAATTTTTAGATCTAGTTAATATATTTCTTGAAAATGTTGCAGTGCCAAACTGCGATAACAAATGGCGCATTGAGAACAAACTAGATGTTGATAGGCTTATGTTGTTAATAACGGAGGTAAAATATTCAATTACAGGTCACCACTGTGTGAAATACATAAACCGGACTTTTAGACCCTGGCAACATATATTTCGGCACATTAATCTATGAACTCTTTATAGTTTATAAGTGCAAATCTATCCAAAGAAACTGTAGAGATTAAGTTTAAATTAACGACGACATAAAACAAGTTGTCACAATGAGACTACCGAAAGATATACAAACAAACAACTGAGACGGATGTTGATGAAGGGAGTAACAACAAAGGAGATAAGGTTCAGAACAAGAATACATTTGTGCTAGTTTGGACGATTTTGATGAATGAAATTATAAGGTCCCAAAAATCTGAACCAGCCCGGTCAATCAAAGATCACTCACTGAACAAAACTAGTCCAACCTTTTATATAACCACAAAAAGTATTGTTATTACTATGTCCTAACGTGAACCATTACATGAGATTAGCTGAATATCATCATTCGTAAAAGCCATGCCTAACTCACAACCATGATATTTATTATCAACTGACTAAATAGTGACATCCATATCCTTTCATGAACACACCTCAATCTTTAGACGTCAGTATACAATACAGTTCCCAATCACAATTATGTAAAAACAAATCGTGAGTTTGCCCATAGTACCGCCATTTCTTACATATCAATAAGAAACACAGAGAAAGGTTTCATCAAACGTGTAGATCTTGATAATTTGGTCGGCCGTCACCTGGGACTACTTCATATGACAATGATTTTGTATATAAGATGCTCAGCTTATTGAGACCATAGGAATTTACACTAAACAAAATCCCTAGTCTGTCACAAATTCTGAGCACAAGTCTTAACGACAAGACCACCAGAAGTCACAGCAATGGTGAGTCTGCAGTCTTTTTCAAAGTGACCAGTAGAGGCTACATGAGCAGTTGGAATACCATGATTATCAAGTGACGACATATTCTAGTAACAATAGCGTTTATTTGCAACGGATGAATGAATAGACAATGACTTTATTCTGTACAAAGTGGGTTCTGGGATTTGATAAAAATTACAGATGGACTGTGTTTATGTGGTATTTATATAAATGTATTAAATACAAGTACTTAAAAGTGTATTATGCTTCAGTATACTGATAATCGACTAGACTTTCGTTCCGAACACCGGGATTACTAAAAGAAACGGAACCATTGCTCGAATTCCCGACAACGTCACCATTTTTGCGGATTTTACTAGCTTTATTTGTTGACAATAAATCCAAGGCAGATCCGTGATTCTGATCCAGTGAACTTGAAGTTTTATTATCCTCTCCGATGGGACTCTGCTTACTTGCTTTTCGAAAGGTCGGAGACTGTTTTCGCTTTTGCCCCGAGTTTCTTTTAACACTAGAGGACATAGTGCTTTGGTGTACTTCATCAACGCTCGATGACGTGCCATCACTAGTATCCGACTGTATATCTGAATCTGCACTTAGTTTGGAACAGCTCTGCTTTCGACTGTTAGGCTTTAAATCTGGGATGTTGACAACCAAGGAACGCAAAAATGTAAAGCGAGGTTCGTGTTCTACGACATATTTACTGCAAAATATTACGGATTAACTACAACAAAATTTACATAATTCCGGGACTTATTGTTTTCGAGTTTCTAGTTGCAGTGAATTCATACGCCTGATTAAGCAGCTGTTCGAGAAACAATTCTAAGGAACGTGCTAAAATTCATATGGTATACACCTTAAATTCGCTTACAAACAACAGGAGGGACAGTAGCTGTCAACTTGCCGATTTCTTCATCTAATTGCATGATTTTTTTAATTCTTGTCTGCAAAGAGAATTGGGATTAATTTAAAAATATGGTGGGTTGTATTAAAATATGGAATATCCATATGCTAACCATACCGTTGGAAAGCGAGATGCAAACCTTCGTTTAGCTGGCATTTCTGCACTACTGAACGACCCGCTGAACAACGACCTTTAAGCATAAACTCCAGCAAACCATATACTCGAAATTAGGTTGAGAATATCATCAGTCTTCAGTAGTAAGGATAATAAGTCAAGGGACCTATATTTATCCTTGCAGCATCCGTCCCTGTGAAGATTCAATCGTGCTTCGAGCATATGAACAGGTGTTGATATTACGTGTTACGTTAGAGAACTCCAGTAGTCCACTACTTTGTGCGATAGACGAAACTTCAGAAGAAAACCATTTGGTCTTGATTTTTAACTTTTTTGGAATCTCATCTCAGACTATCAGTCGTAGATAGAAGGTAAGACAGTATTAGATCGCCCCATAACCTGCGGCATGATATGAAAACGGGCTGAAACTCCTCAGTCTTTCTACACAAGATAGGTTCAAATGGTTCAAATGGTTGTGGACGGAATAGAAGAAGCTTTCGCTTAACAGGCTTCCGTGTCTAGTAGCAGGGGATCACCAAATCCTCCAGGCAGGAACCTAGGTATGTTAACAATAAAAAGGAAAAGAAATTGGTAAATCATAATGTGATGCTGTCCTTGGTCCTTAAGAATAGGTCAAGTTGCCTCTTGAAGGACTCCTGAGAAGTCGCTTGGACTAGCTCGGCCGGCAGCGAATTCCAGCTTTTGACAACTCTTAAGGAGTAGAAGTTGTGTCTACATTCCGTCTTGCTATGTTGTGTTTCCAGTTTCTGGGTGTTACCCCTTAGGTTATTATTCGAACTAAGCTTAAGTAGGTGTTTAAGAGGATGTCCAGAAGTGTTAAGAATACTGTAAGCCATTAGTAAATCACCTCTAAGACGCCTATATTCTAGTGGGTAAAGGTCTAGTGAACGGAGGCGTTCTTCGTAAGGCTTAGATTTGAGTCCTCGAACTGATTTCGTGGCTCGCCGTTGGATACGCTCCAAAGTGACCTTGTCCTTCTGGAGTGAGGGGGGAGTACTATGTTTCCGTACTCTAAATGGGGACGGATAAAACTATTGAAGATTGTGTGGAAAGTTCGTCCGTCAAACTGTCCAAAAATGCGCTTCAACGTTACCAGTGCAAGGTTTGCTCGGAAGGCATTTTTGTCACAGTTAGCGTAAGACTTTAAGTCATGGGGCACCAGGACTCCTAAATCTTTTTCGACTTGGGATACTACTAGAGAGGAGTTTCCTAAGTTGTAACTGTAGTTTGCTACATGTCGCAGATGGACTACTTTACACTTTGAAGTGTTAAAGGTAAGTCCGTTATCGTCTGCCCAACTTTGAAGTCGCGTCAGATCATCCTGAAGTGCCTGTGTATCGTCTTGGTTGCGTATCTCTCTCCAAAGTTTCACGTCGTCGGCAAAAAGTAATAAATCTGACGTTACCTGTTGAGGAAGATCATTTATGTAGATCAAGAAGAGAAGAGGCCCTAGTACTGAGCCCTGGGGGACCCCACTAGGACATTCCATAGCCTGAGATAAAGTGAAATTAACCCTAACCTTAAAGTGTCGATTTTTTAGGTATGAAGTAAGCCAATCGATTAGAGGTGGTTTGATACCTAGTCGTTTGAGCTTGTTGATAAGACATAAGTGGTTAACCTTATCAAAAGCTTTTGAGAAATCAAGGTAAATGACATCAACCTTTCCCTTGCAATCGAGGATGCTTGTCCATTTGTCCACCGCAGTCAGCAGGTTGGTTATACAGGAGTAACCCTTCCTGAAACCATGCTGTTGGGGTGAGAAGAAATTTAAGGACAGTAGATAGTCATTTAAACCGTCGCATATCAGGGACTCCATGAGTTTTGAAGGTAATGACAGAAGAGCCACCGGCCGATAACTTGAAGGTTCATTGCGTCGACCACCTTTGAAAATTGGTGTGATGTGAGCCAACTTCCAGTTTTCCGGTAATTTGCCTCGGCTAAGCGAGTGTGAAAACATCACGCTAAGCGGCGTTGCCAGGATTGAGGCTGCCTCCCTCAGTATGGCAGGATGAACCATATCCGGGCCAGGAGAAGTGTCAAGTCTTAAGTGCTGCAATTTCCGGAACACCAAGTCAGCGCTTAGGTCCACTTCAGAAAGTCCTGTGGAGTTGGAGATGAAACTGTCGTCAATAAAGTTGATGTCAGCCGGTTGAAATGTTTGAGAGTAATGGGCCGCCAGAAGGTTAGCGGCGTCGCCATCGTTGTTGGTCGGGCCGTTAAGACCTAGCAGTTGAGAAACTCCTGTTTTGGCTTGACGAAGAGAGGCTGCATAACGGAATAAGCTTCTAGGGTTAGAGGCGAATTTGTCCATAAGCTTTGTTTGGTACTGAAGCCTGTCTTCTCTTATAGCCTTCGTGCATGTGTTCCTGATATGTTTGTATTGCCTATACGCTCCATCGTTATTAGTTCGTTTGTATTCCGCCCAACAGTGCCGTTTGCGGCTTAGGAGGCGAAGGGTACGGTTCTTGATTACTGTAGGTGGCTTGAAGCTCTTGGGAACCGTTTGAGGAACTGAATGGTCTGTAGCACATAAGAGCGTGTGCAGTAAAAAGTCCCAATGACCATCCACATCGATTTGAGGGTGAACATCCCAAACGACCTGTTGTAGATAGTCATGTAGAGCTGGCACGTTCAGCCGTTTAAAATTCCAACGCAAATTATTGTTGGGATACCTTAGCTTAGTTTTGATGACAAAACTGAAGGCTATGACGGCATGATCGCTTTTTCCCAGAGGAGCCAGGATTGAGAGGTTGTCGACTAGGAATTCTTCGTTAGTGAATACACAGTCTAAGCGCGATGGTGTCTGACTGTTTCTCCAACGAGTTGCCGACCTCACATTTTCATATAAGCCCAAGTTATCGATGAGGTTGTAGAACCGAGCTTCAATTGAGTTGTCGCCTCCAGTGTACGTGTGTTCCGCGAAGTTGACTCTAGGGAGATTAAAGTCCCCTAGAATCAGGATGTGTGTGAAACCGAGACGGATAGAGCGGGATAGTCCTTCCAGCATACGACTATCGTACTCGGTGTCGGCAGTTGGCTTCCTGTAAATGACTCCGACTAGACACCTGGAAGTACTAGACAGTCTTACAGAGCACCATATGGATTCCTCAAGATTGTTAAACTCGAGGTTGTGAACCTGGTGCACCTCCAAGCAAGAGCTTATGTATATGGCTACTCCGCCCCCAATTCCTGTTTTTCTGTCGTTGCGGAACAAAGTCATCCCAGTCAATGCTAACTCTTGGTCCGAGAACTGAGAAGATATCCAGGTTTCAGATATTCCTATCAGATGGGCCTTATTAGCGCTGCTAAGTTCACGTAGTTCATCCAGTTTGTTTGGTAGACTCGCGGCGTTCATATATAAGCAGTTTATGCTTTCAATTTGGAACGCGTGAGCTTCGTCCTGTTTTTCTGTATGAACCTTGTGTGAATGGACAGGTAGCCCACCTATGTGAGGTTTGCCGAGGTGGTAGGCCCTGTCCTTTACACGTTTTTTTTATCGTTTAGACAGTCCACAAGTGGAATGGTCAGCTCCAACTTGCCTTTGTTCTTGGTCCTAACTTCGTATGGCCTATCCGGGTGCATGTGGATTCCAGGTGGCAATCGACGTCTATTAGCACGAAATGCTTCCAGAACTGCAGCCGCCATGTGGGAAGATGGGAAGGTTATCTTCATTAGACGGGGTCTAAGATCACCGTCCTTCTTGGCTAGTCTCGTCACATGCTGAGTCAGTATGTGTTTGAGCCTCAAGGACTGTTTGATGAATTTCCATTCCCTGATGTCAGAATTTGGTTGGGTAGGGTCAGCATTTTCCGGTATACCTTGGACAATTATGTTTCTTCCGCGGAAAAACTTCTCGCGAGATTCTTTAGGGACGTTTCGTATGATACTGCGCTCAGAGTACGGTATGTCGGGCAGTATTCTTACGTTACCATCTGATTTCAGCAAGTGGCTTGCTAGCAAGACGTCCTCTACGTCGGTAGCATCCTTAAGTGTTACTCGGAGAAGCCTCGGGTGATTTAGATGCTTAGAATCCTTTCCTCGAGTGAGCCGGGTGACCGTCAAAGGCTCTATTCTAGGAAGTTCAAGCTTCTTGTTCAATTCACCCCAGAGCATCCTGTCGTTTTTGTCCTGCAGACTGAGAGGAAGATCAGGGTTGTCAACGAGGTTCATGATAATGAGAGAATCGTCACGAACTGTTGTTAATTTACCAGGTTTCACGATGGGTTCAGGTTTAGTAACTTGTTGTTTGGAGGTCAGTGTGCGTTTTGAATCATGGGCTCTTTATTGGCCGGACGAACAGTCTTGGGGGTAGACTGTGCGACTAAATCACCAGTTATTTTCCGTGCACCAACACTTGGGTTGCTCGGCTTAGGCAGTGATGCCTGGTTCTTTTGGGCTCTCTTAACGTGGGTCGAATCACCTGCAGGGTTTTTGGGAACCACTGTTGTGTTTGGGGACCCTGAGCTGGGAGACCCGAGTTTGCCTAGGGAGTTCAGTACCGTCGACGTAATGATGGTACTGAGCCTCGACACGTCGTCGTTAGTGTTGATGGATGCGCCGTCGATGGAATACCTATCGACATCCCTGTTTTTGAGTCCGTTGCACGCTCTTGTTTGTATATCAGTTTTTTTGCTATCGTTTTCCAAGTTAACTGACAACTTGTTCCGAAGACCTGTCAGTAGGACAATGATGTTACTCAGCAAGACTACGGAGTCGGTGTTGCACGTGACACACACCCACTTTTGCTCTGACTTGCTGAGTCTGTTGTAAGCAGTTGCTGTCAGATCTGTGCATGCTTCGTGGAACCAACCTTTGCAGTTGTCGCACTGCATGCCAGTTGTGACAGCAAAACGGCATCCCGGACGTTTGCATGAGTTTTTCATGACGGTGTTGAAGCAAATTATGTTATAGATGCTTGCAAGAGCCTAAGACCTTTAAAAAAACACTAAAAAGCACACTGAAAACGGACAAAAATGGACAAAACGAGTGATATAAACTGAAACTAGTCTATACGTGAAAAACAAAAAAAACCGAATAGTAAGCTGAGGCAAAACCACAGGTAACTATTAAATATA